TGAACGATCTGCTGCTGCTTTCAGTAGTAAAGCAATGAATGTCATGTAAAATGGCATTCAAACTTACATTGTTAGCATTTAACACTGAATAAAGCACATGAGGTGTACCTGAGGTGATCAGTTTATCCTGTTGTGCAGCTGCAAGAAATTGAAGCCGTTTCTAACATATCAATTCGGGGAGTTAGTTAGAGCAAAAACTTAATATGGGAAATATTCCTTCTATGGCGTGTCGTTGCTTTTTATCTAGAACATGACTTAAATCAGCTTTTAGGTTCAATCGTCAGACTTCCTCCTGTTGGTCCTCAATCTGGCAATCTGCGCTTGCATTTGTTTTGATCCAGGAATGCAATACCTAGTTTAACCACTGGGTGTCAAACTTACATACTGCACCTTTAACTGATGCTCATCTAAACTTCTAGTATCTATTAAATATGAATCAAATACCAATATCTAAAAAACAAAAACTACTATCTATTTAATATATTGTGTGCATTTGTACTTAAAAACATGCAAAAGTATCTAATAATAGGTAATAGTATTTAAAAACTAAGTACTAGCATTATATGACCAACTACTAGTATATTAAAAACTATGTACTACTCACAGTTGGAATACAAATTTGTTAAAAGTGACAGATCATCATAGACATCTATGGGAAAATACTCATCACTATTTAATTAAGTACTAGTAACAAATCCGTAAATACCAGCATCTAATAAATATTATGGCGAAACAGTGGCTCAGTGGTTAGCACTGTCGCCTCACAGTAAGAAGGTTGCTGGTTTGACTCCCAGCTGGGTCAGTTGGCATTTCTGTGTGGAGTTTGCATGTTCTCTCTATGTTGGCATGGGTTTCCTCCTGGTGCTCCGGTTTTCCCCACAGTCCAAAGACAAAAGCCATAGGTGAATTGGGTAGGCTAAATTGGCCATAGTGTATGTGTGTGAAATGAGTGTGTATGGGTGTTTTTCCTGGTACTATGTTGCAGCTGGAAGCATCAACTGTGTACAACATATGCTGTATGAGTTGGTGGTTGATTCTGCTGTGGTGAATTCTGATGAATAAAGGAACTAAGGCGAATGAATAAATATAATGATATATTTAATGACTAAGTACTAGACTCTTTTATAAATAATATTGAGTAAATAACAAATATGTGCTATCATATTTTCAAAATGTACTAGTATGTAAATAATCAGTGGTAATAATGGGTGCTAGTATTAACTGAAATGGATACTAGAATCTTAAAAATAGTCACTAGGAACATGAAAATAGAGACTGGTGCATTTTATAGATGAATGGCTTGCTAGATTTCTGTTGTTTTCTGCTTACAGACGGTTACTCGTATGAACGAGAGGCCATTGAGGCCTGGATCAGCACAAAGAACCGCACGAGTCCAATGACAAACCTGCCCCTGCAGACCACCCTTCTGACCCCCAACCGCACACTCAAAATGGCCATATTCAGATGGAGCACTTCTCAGTGATTTCAGATAATGCTGACCGCAGATCTGTCAGGTTACTACGACTAAAGACCCTGACAAGAATTCACTCCAGAACTGGATCGCCTTGGGACACTATATGTGAGATCAATTCAGACATTAGCATGCTGTAGATTTAGCACTTAAACTAAACGGGCTACGTAATGTCTCAGATCTGGACTCTTATTAGATTTAGCGCCGGCCTCCAACAGCAACGTGACCAGAGGCCTGTCACGTATACATTCATCATCATAACACAGCAGTGTCGAGTGGCCTTAAACATCATAATAAATGTTTATCATGCCCTCTCTGCTCCGTAGCGGACGGTTCGTTGGCGTATTTATGTGCTACGCAAACACTATAATTATGATTCTGCTGCAGCTGTCCTCCATCTCCCTTCATGAGTCACAGGTCTGAATGCAGGTGAGATCCATTCAGTCTTACTGCATTCAGTCATTATTGAACTGTTAATCAAAAGGCTTTACAAATAAGGCTATATATATATATATATATCAAGTAGATGCATCTTGTAACCAGTTAGATGGCTTTACTAAAGAACTGTATGTATATTACTGTACATAAGGGCATGGTTAGATGAACATAGAGCAATAAAATATATCTAATATGTTTTGATTTGGAGATTCATTTATTTCAACTAATTTAGAACAAATGCTTACGTCCGATTCACACGGGGCTTCAGCGTCAACGCTTGACGGAGGGCGTTTCTGAAGTTGGGGCTGATGCGATCATCACAGCAGAGTCAGCCAATGACATTAGTCCGCAATCAGCTGCTGTCTGATCTGGGATATTTGCATAAAGCAATCTGATTGGCTGACGCTTCTGTTTGTGCTTGAAAAGTTGAAACTCCAAAGTCTCTAAGGTAAGTCACTTTACTCGGCAACCATCTTTGAAACACCTATGGGTATGTGTACTTTCTATGTTCAGGCATTCTGTTTGCATAGGAAAACATCAAATTCTCCAAAATTGCTTGCCAAACTTACGCATAAATTTCATATTAGGAATCACCAATACAATTAAACAACAACTGTGTCTTTAGTTTCATTTCTAAATGTTTAAAACACACAAAATCTGTAGAAACTCTGAACCCTGGACACGTCTTGTGTATTCTAAAGTCTTTGGAAATTCCCACCTTCTGCAGCGAGCAACACAGCTGACGCAGCGCCAACAGGTCCACTATTCAGTTCAGCAATGCTTGACGTCACCTATTCAAAGTGAATGGAAAGCGCTGACGCCCCATGTGAATGGGTTGCTAGGGATGCATCACTGTTGTTCACCAAATCGAGGTAGTTATCCATCTGGTTTTATGCCTTAAAATAGCACGTCAGCAATGCGCCTCAACACACCTCGTTTTCAGACCAGCACACACCCATGACTGCACAAGTGCATGTGCGTTTACAAGCAGCACTATGCAAGTTTTTAACCTTAAACAATGCTTCTAAAATTATATCAGCGGTAGAATAACTTTTAACTCAGTGAGTTCTGCTGCTGCGGCTACCAGATCTGCCTCCTGTTGCCTGAAATCAGCTTGCAACTTTGGGTGAGTGACCCGTAAACACAGCCCTGCCCCCCGTCCCTGCCAGCAGAACAATTGACATGTATAGAAAAGCCTATGAAAACAAGAGTGTGATCTGTTTTAAAGTACACATCACATTGTTTTCATTTCCTAGGAGAAGTTGTAATGTCTTATAGCGATGACATCACTTCATGGGTGTTTTACTTTCACCAGTGGTGGAGCTGAGGACCCTTTGATTCTCAACAGATTTGCCATAGATGTTTCATACAGTGTACAGAAGCAGAGGTGTACCATCCTTCTTTTTTTAGTCCTTGTTTGCCAGTAATAAGCCAATCTCTTTTGGAGGTCAGAGTAGGAACTAAAAAGGGGTTTGGGGGGATTGCATGTCAAAACAAGATGCACAGGGGTTCCTTTTAAATCTGAGAAAAAGTTCACTCTGATCTGTATTTTAAATGATGTTAAAAATTTAAATAATAGACATCCTCTTGACCCCCCCCATAACAGTTCATTTTTGTGAATGAATAATCGCGCCATTCAGTCTATGCGAGAAAAAATGCCATTCATAAGAGTTCACATTAGACTGATTTCTCATAAAATAGATGTTTGTTTCTATATAAAGCCTAAAAGTATTCAAATTAGATGCAAATTTTGTATAGTTTGACCTAAAGAATACCGAAAATAGCTAATCTGGTCAGAATACACTAAGTAGCCTATCCCACAAAACACTGAAAACCTAAATTCATTCATTCATGTTCTTGTCGGCTTAGTCCTTTTATTTATCTGGGGTCGCTACAGTGGAACGAACCATCAACTTATCCAGCATATGTTTTATGCAGTGAATGCCCTTCCAGCTGCAACCCATCACTGGAAAACATCCATACAAACTCCTTCACACACAGACTTTAGCTTACCCAATTCACTTATAACTTATGTATTTGGAATGTGGGGGAAACCGGAGCACATGGAGGAAACCCACGTGACCACGAGGAGAACATACAAACTCTACACAGAAATGCTAACTGACCCAGCCGAGGCTCGAACCAGCGACCTTCTTGCTTTGAGGCGATCGTGCTACCCACTGCGCCACCATGACGGCCTAAAAAAAACTAAATATATTTAATTAATAAATTAGTATTATTAGATAATTAGACTTTATAAATTAGATTTATTAACAAAATTGTTGATCGTCAATGTATAATAGGGTATATGCAGAGCTAGTGTTTCTTCCCATGCTGATAAACTCCCGGTGAACAGTTAATGTGAACTTTTTTCCATTTTATGCAGTCCCTTGATGTTCTAATGTAAATTAAATTTGTTCAGTTAAATAGACTTTGTCATTCATTTAGTTGTTGAAGCGTAAAACAAGACAAAAAGCCATTTACTCGCACGCGCCCGTAAGAATCAGCAGTCTAGCGCAAAAGCTCCATTGAATATACTGAGGTAAAATAGTCATATTTTTAAGACATCTCTGTAACCCTCTGTAGTGGCTTATGTCATCTCAAGAGATGTTGCAAAATAGAGTTTATAAATAAGCACTCAGTGGTTAGCACTGTTGCCTCACAGGAAGAAGGTTGCTGGTTCTAGTCCGGCTGGGTCAATTGGCATTTCTGAGTTGAGTGCTCCAGTTTCCCCCACAGTCCAAAGACATGCGCTATAGGTAAATTGAATGAACTAAATTGACCGTAGTGTATGTGTGTGAATAAGTGTGTATGGATGTTTCCCAGTACTGTGTTGCAGCAGGAAGAGCATCCGCTGTGTAAAACATATGCTGGATAAGTTGGCGGTTCATTCCACTGTAGCAACCCCTGATGAATAAAGGGACTAAGCCGAAGGAAAAGGAATGATTTAATGGACACCATATGGATCACATTAAAAAAACCTGACAGTTTACTTCCTAATGTAAAAAACTACTTAATAAACATTTAAGAATGGGTAATAATCTCTTTGGATAAAAATAAGGCACTAGAGAAATGTAATAAAACAGTAACCTAAGTCTTAAACTGGGGTTTATTGTATATGATGCTGAAATATTCAAATACAATACATAACAGCCCTATACATAAAATAAATTGCAAATAATGAAATAACATCCATGTCCTTATAGACACCTGAATATGGTTCACCATAACATGCATGTAAACCTGGTCTCCTTTATACAGTTCATGTCGTCCTCACAATCATAGTGGTATTTCATAATATATAGCTGTGCAAAAATAACTAATATATAAAATATAATATTGTTTTAATCAGACAACCAAGCCATAAATAAATTAATCCAAACAGTGAGTAGTTTAGGAAGAAATACAACACGCTTCTCCTTGAAACACACACATACATACATACACTCACACACTCATCACCATTCAAACAGCATATGCTTTCTGAATACACAGGACTGGCCCACAATCATACTGTAAGAGACAGTGTTTCATTTTGGTAGATGTCCTATGTCCTTATTGAAGTCTAAAGCCAGGTCAGGTATCTTAATACATTAATAAACCACCTCTATCATATTTCCACTCTCCTATAATGTGCAGATGCAGCGTTGCGCATTGAAAATGTGCTTAAATACCTCTGAAGCTGTAAACAGAAATGCAAGGCAATCTTATGTTCACCTACCTGGAACAAATCCTTTCAGTTTAGTTCAACTGAGCCCCCTTACATTTATGTCGTAAGATTGTATATAATTTGTGCTTAAGGTAAAGAATGAGTTGGTAGCTACACGTTGGACTCAATAAAGGAGCGTTTGGGCTTGATGGAGCTGATCAGGATGGGGTTGTCCCGGGCCAAGCTGGCCTGCTTGTGCTTGGTGTCATTGTAGTGCTGCTGGAGAGGGTTCGTGTCCTTATATCCCGCTCCAGAATGAAATTCAGTTGTAAGTGTGCTATTGTGGATGGGCTCCTGATAAGCACTCGATTTAGAGTATTGAAGGTCACTAGTCAGTCCCTGCGAGTGCGTATTCACTACAACACCTACATTGTGGCCTACGAGTCCTTCTGGCCACCCGTAACTGGACACCAGGCTGCCGTGATGACTTTGCTGCTGCTGCTGTTGGAAACGGGCAGTTTTGTCAATGACCCCCATGAAGGGCCGTGGTTTATGCTCAGATTGCCTATCTGGAGCGCTTGCCATGGAATTGCGTAATCGGCTGGTATCTGTGAGATTCCCGCTGGAGGAGCTGGAGACTCTTACACTGCTGCTCCTGCAAAACTCTCTTGGCTCGATGTTGATTTCTGCCTTCTCTGCGAGACTGAACTGAATGCCGCCCTCTCTGGCATCACCGAGTGGACTTCTGTCAAGGCCACCAATGTCAATGCAGGGCCCTGCTCTGAGTGAGGTTGGTCGGTGCCGGCTTGGCATCGGGCTGGAGCCGGCGCTCTGTGGCGTCCTGCCTTCAGCATGTAGTGAACTGCTGTACTCTCGGTTCTTCATGCTTTGAGCTTGTCTGGACGGGAGGCGCCTGTGTGCGACCCGTCCAGGGGCAGCAGTGGAGATGGCAGACTGGGCATCTGATAACGCCAGGCAGAGAGAATCAGGTAATGTGCGGCTTTGATGCCAGCTCTCCTTCCTCTTGTCCTGCCGAGAGGATTCTTGCTCACGCCGCTCCTCCTCATCATCTGCCTGCAACATGTTTATGCTGAGACTGTCTGGGCTTTTCTCCAAACTCTCAATGTCTTGGTCGTCATCTTCAACCTCATCATCATCTTCCTCGTCGTCGTTCTCATTGTCGTCCTCGTGGTGTGAGGGGTTGCCATGAGAGGTCGGGTGTTTAGAGCCCTGCCGCTGCAGGTGTTGGCACTCCTCCTCCACTCGTGCCAGCAGACGTCTGATCTCTCGGTTACTGGGACACAGACGAGCCGCTTCATAGAGATCAGCCAGTGCGGCTGCAAACTGCCTGAGAAAGAGAAAAGCAGAGGAACGGATGAATATTTCATCTTTATTATTACATCGCACTCTGGAACATTTCTAGGAATATTATTCCCACACAACAACCATTGAAACCAGTAACACATGCTCATCTGGGTACTTCAAATCATCTTGATCTATATTTATATGCTTCTCCAAGCCACTGTTCTTGGTTGTTTGGTGCCGTCTTGCAACTGAATAGAAAGTGGGTTAGTGTAGGCTGGATTTAACAGTTTTTCTTCTTATCAGCTGTACATTTAACTAAAGTGTTAGTCAGGAAGAATAGTCTCTACAGCATGTCCTGGGCCTCCCCCACCTCCCCAGGTACAGTAGGTGGCCAGGAGGTATCAATTGTTGATGCCAGAGTCACCTCATCTGGCTTCTCTTAATGAGGAGGAGCAGTGACTTATGGTGGAGGAGTTTGAGTGCCTAAATATTTTTAGGGCTCATGTTGTTGGGGGCTGAATGTCCCTGGTAGGATCTCCCAAGGTAAAATGGTTCTGGGCGACAGGCCAGACTAAGTGTGGTTCAAAAACCTACAATATACGAGTTTGATAAAATGGAAGACTGAGATGTTGCCCCAATTATGGTGCAACCAAGGCCCCAACCTAAAGCCTGGCCTGTGGAGTCAGGGCTCGAGGCTGATTTTTTACTTCTGTGTAAAGCGCACTCGTATGATCCGGCAAAGCCTTCACACAGTTTGCATAACCCTCGCCGTGGCTGATGCCAACGCTGACATGCACCTCTCAAAAAATGGAACTATGCATCGTAACCACACGTAGTGCAAGCTTTGTGATTGGTCAACTTAGTAGCTGTGATGAGTGTGGGCAGTACTGAGAGCTGCGAGCCCAATGGAGCGAGTGTTTACAAGCGTTGACTCCTTCGAAGGAGCTCCAGATGGAAACTTGTTTTGTGTTTACCTTATGATTACAGTTGTTGCACGTTTGCCAGTTCCCGCCTCTGAAAGAGCGAGTTTTATCTACTTGTAGATTAAGGTAACATTTATAAAAAACAAAACACCTGCAAAAACCTCTATAGAGGATCCTAAAAACCTGCTGCCAGCTAGCATTTTGGATGTGTTAATGCAGAGCAACACAAACAGCGTGCAGAACTATACATGCACGACTATACGCAAGGCAGATGCCGTGGGTCACACCAACTGTTTGATGCACAAGTATGAACCAGTCTTCACATGAGATGTGGGAACATCCCTCTGTGGACCCACTACCTGCAGAAGGAGCCATAACAGTGTGAATCAGGCCGTAGTTGAAGGCCAGGGCACAACAACCCAATTATTGAACATGGAATGGAACTTCAAAAATGACTAAATAAAGGGTACATGAATTAAGAGATTTTCTTTAATCCAAATGATCATTAAACAAAAAGTATCCAACAACACCTATTGACAAAATAGGGACTTTGACACTGGCTAGTTATAGAAACAAGCCATCAGGGTGTTTATCCAGAATTAAATTTCATTCTAGGGCCATGTCCCTAATTGCAATTGCACAGTTAGTAAGGCACTAGCCACGTCATTTAGTGTGAACAACCGGAGGAAGCCCTGATCTGAGCTGTTTGTGTGTGTTTGTGGTGGGCTATGTGATAATACAGATGGAATGGAGATGTATCATTTTATGCAACACATCATCAAGGCCGAGACAAGAACACCACAGACAAAAGTGACAGGTAAACAGAAAACAATGCAGTATCATCAGGAAACAGGTGTACCTCAGGGTTCAATACTAACAACCTGCACTGAAAGCTGCTTCTCAACAGCACACACATTTGAGTTCTCTTATCTTCTTGCAATTTAAAGTACAAAAAAAGTTGCATTAAAATGCCTGTCCAAGCAAAAATGCAGCCGGCTTCTATTGTCTTGCATTAGTAACAAGCCTTGACAAACTTTCATGCTTAGGGTTGCCAAATGTCAAGTCTAAATCCCACAGATACATTTTCCCCAGTGTTTTACTTAATCCTCCTAGCCTGTACTACAAAAAAGCTGATAATCAGTTTTCTTTTTCTGAAATTAAAGAATAAATTTGCTTATCTTATGTTTCTATTCGTTGCGACTCTTCTAACTCTGTAAACCTTCAAACTAATTTCTCTGTGATGAAATGTGCTTTAAAATGTAATTACGACTACAGTGTTTGCTGAAAAAACACACTAATCCAACATACATTACCAAGTCTATGTTGTTTAAATGGAAAATTTCTTTTTTTTTAATTACTGTAATTATAAGAACATATATTATTTAATATTATTTTATAAATAGCATGTTTAAATAAGCTCTTAAAGGTTTTACCAGTTATCATTATGCAGAGTCTGTTAATGTTCAGGATAAATAGGAAAAACAGACTGGGTCAGATAAACCCCACATATAAAATGACATTTGTGTTACTAAATCAAGATGGATCTACATTGTTAAAGTAAAGACATTTCTCCAATGACCACAATCAATAAAAATCACACTTTTATGCAAAATAATCATGGTAGCCATTTTATAACTTATTGTACTGTACCTGATAGCATCAATAACCTAGTTTAATCTTCGAAAAGTAGACATAACACATTAGCAGCAGTTCATGACTCATTTCAAGCTTGATTTAAATTCAGTCAGAGATGTCTGAACAATTCAGAGCATGAATCAGACCACTGTCTTCTGCATTGAATTATGTCTAATTTCCCAACCGATTTGTGAAAAAGAACTACTAATGTTAGTGTTATGTTGCACAGTATATCTGATGACCAAAACAGCCCCAAAAATACAGGAATATCTCTCTGTTCTCAGAATCAATTCACATAATCAAAACGGGCATGAAGGTTGTTTACCTGCTGCTTCTTTTGGCTCTGGCACGAGCATAAAACGCCTCATAGGACTTTGGCTTGAGTTCGAGAGCTTTGGTAGCAAACTCCTCAGCCATGCCAAAATCCTGCCAGGAACAGACATAAATAAAGAAGAGAGAGACAACATGAGTGACAGAAAGAAGAAACAGAAAAAAATAAAGACCAATAACTTTGATCAGACTAGGCCTATGCGAGCGGTGGATTTTCTTGCAAGCCTTCATTCTGCTCATGAATGAATCTGATCGGGAGACTCTCGTTGAAATTCTGTTCTTGAGTCTGAGGTCAGAGATTCAACGAGGAGCCATAACTGTCACCCCTAATGATGCACTTTAAATGTTTAATGGCAGCAGATCCTATTAAAATAGCCATTAGAGCTGCAGGATGCCTGTGTAATTAGGAAACACGTAGCAGGACTCTCTCTCAGAGTCACGTAATCTGCTGTCTAATTGCACTTCTATGAACAGCCTGTGAGGCTCTTCTCCTCAACCTAGACAAACCAATACAATTATCCAGGGGAAGATGAGTGTGTATGCGGATCTGTGCAAAATGCAGATTGCCATTTGTATCATTAATGCTGTTTGTTGAGAGGCACAATGTGAAGAATGGTTATTGAAGGCTTTATCTGGGTTTCCAAGATACTTGTGTCACGTACGTTGGTTTTGCGGCGGCAGCGGGAGAGGTTGAGATAGAGGGAAACCCGGAGCTCTCTGAATGCCTTCAGGTCTTCCCCAAAACCTTCCCTCGGAAACTTCCGCAGCGCGTACTGATACCTCTGAGCGGCTTCCTTCATCTTCCCTTTCTGGGGGAAAAAAGAATTTCAGAAAGTCATATATGAAAATGAAACAGTGATCAAATGTTCACAGGTGTATTTGTTGGACATAGTAATAACAGCACGTAAACCATTAACATTTAAACAAACTTAAATGTTATTTTCAAAACAATATGTCATATGTACACCAAACATCTGTATGAAATGAGAGATGAAATACACAGGTAGGTAATGTGCAATAAAAATGAACACATGATTTCTTTTCATGACTAATTAACTAATTCATAGGTCTCAAGTTTTGCTCCAACCCTAATCAAACTCAATTGAAACAACTAATCATGGTGTTTAAGACTACTAGATACTATCAAGCAAGTGTGAGTTGTGGTTCAAGCTAAAATCTGCAGATCTGTAGCCCTCCAGGAGTTTGAGACCACTAAAAGTAATGTATAACAGCTCCTTAAGGGGCCGATCATCACACCGAACAGGCTTTTTGCATTGAGAGGCGCTTTTTAGGAATGATTTACTAATGGCCACAATCTTTTTCGAGCTGCTAATGCTCCCCGCACGCCACATGGTTTATCCGCCTGCTGCACCTCAAATTTTTGCTGTTGTGCACTACGTCAGTTGCGTCTTTTTCATTCTCCAATCAAATGAAAGCAGTGGTGGTGTTTCTGTTGAGGTGACAAATGTGTTTGTGCGGAGACTTTTGAAGATAGAGGAGAGACCTAGTGTTTACTGTTTTGAGTTATACAAAGCTGTATGACTTCCAGAGTTGGGTGTAAAGTGTTCCACAGTAACGCATTATTCATTCATTCATTTTCTTTTCGGCTTAGTCCCTTTATTAATCTGGGGTCGCCACAGTGAATTTAACCGCCAACTTATCTAGCACATGTTTTACACAGCGGATGCCCTTCCAGCCGCAACCCATCACTGGGAAACCCATACACACTTATTCGTACACATACAAACACTATGGACAATTTAGCCTATCCAATTCACCTGTACCGCATGTCCTTGGACTGTTTAGAGCAAGTGTTTTATGTTTTTGGTAAACTCTTTAAATCTTTTGAATATATGAAGCTGCTTTGATTAACCTAAAGTTTTTGTTTTAGTGAATATTAAATTACTGAAAAAGCTTTGGGGCGTCATGTTGGCGCAGTGGGTAGCACGATCGCCTCACAGCAAGAAGGTCGCTGGTTGGAGCCCCGATTGGGTTAGTTGGGGTTTCTGTGTGGAGTTTGCATGTTCTCCCCGTGTTCGTGTGGGTTTCCTCCAGGTGCTCCGGTTTCCTCCACAGTCCAAAAACATGCGGTACAGGTGAACTGAAAAAGCTAAATTGGCCGTAGTGTATGTGGGAGAATGCAAGAGTGTGTGGGTGTTTCCCAGTTTTGAGATGCAGGAAGGGCATGCACTGCGTAAAAACATATGCTGGATAAGTTGGTGGTTCTTCTGCTGTGGCGACCCCTGATTAATAAAGGGTCTAAGTGTGAATGAATGAATGAAAGAGCTGCAGTTAATTTTATGTTTTATAGGCATATTTTATATGTGTTAAAAGTAACATCAAAGTAAAGTAATTAGTAATCTGATTACTTTTTACATGAAGTAATTAGTAATGTAATCAAATTACAATTTTCCAGTAGTAATCAGTAATTTGTAATTATTACTTTTTTAAAGTAACTTAATCAACACTGATGACTTTATAAATGTTGAATATTAAAGTATTATTAAATATTAAAATTATAACAATATCAACAGAAAAACTCCCGCACAATACGCAGCTGTTTCAGTCATTGCCTAGTGACATAAAAGAGCACCGCACCACACCACACCACACCTCGTTTTTAGAACTGAAAAGCGCGTATGGTGTGATTGGCCTCTTACTCAACAGCCCTTAAAAGTCCTGTGAAATCCTTTGACGTGCATTTTTGTTCAATTCATGACATGATTTCAACTAAAACATAGAGAGATATTGAGACACAGCTAATGGTGTTTTGTTTTCATCACAGCTCTGCCAGTGAGTGGTTGAGCTCAAGCGCATTAAATGAAAAGCAAATGAGAAGCATCTTGAAGGGGGCGGGACATGTCAAATACTAAGAGCATTTGATTGGTCAGAAGATTTAATGGAAATCTAAAGTATAAGGTGAAGCATTTCAAAAATGTAAGTTTTTCTTATAGAAATGCAAAGTTTTGGAGCACACTCGCTAATGGATTTCCTTCAGACTAACATACTGAAACTAACATAAAAAAAAAACTTTATTTTGATTTGATAGGGATTTTTAATTTCACCTTAGTAATTGAACAAAACCGACAAGAGAATGCTAAATATTAAAGACTTGTTTTGTCCTCAAACTCAAGGTTCTACCAGGGATTGCAGTTGTTGTTAGTGACAAACCTTATAAAGCAGGTTTCCCTCCTCCATGAGCCTCTGCAGAAGTATGATGAGGATGTCTGGCTTGGAGGTGGCCATGGCCCAAGCGGCGTTACCTTCAAGAGAGAGAGAGAGAGACAGAGCAAGAGTTCAGTCCTGACACACAGCACCACACAGAGCAATCAGAGAGACTTTCCTAATGAGTGTACCTGAGCGTTCATAAGGAGATGTTCGGTAGCCTTTAGAAGTGAAAGTGACAGCGGTACAGAAAGAAAAGAAAAACAGAAAGAAAGCGTAAAGAATAAATGCAAGGGAAAACTCAAGAAAGAATACTGTACATGCCGAAACTGAGAAAGACCAAGGACTTTCATTCAAAAAGTCTGGGGATGGCAAGATTAAAAAAAAAGTTCCTTATGGTCACCAGAGCTGCATTTATTTGCTCAAAAACAGCAAACTGTATTACTGTGAAATATAAATATATACTTTTAAAATAATTGACTTATTTTAATATATGGTAAAACGCCATTTATTCCTGAAAATGAAGAGCCGTTACTCTTCAGTGTCCTCCAGAAATCTAATATGCTGATGTGGGGCTCAAGAAAACTTTATTGCTGAAAGCAGTAGTTTTGCTCAATAATGTGATGTTTCTGTGTTGCATTTATCAAACACTGAAAAAAAAGCTGGGTTCCAGACAATTCCTTCATGTTTTCCCAACACAAATCAGTTAAGTTAACTTAATTGTTTGTACAAATATAAGTAGATTGAACATAGAACAATTAAATTGAACAATTAAAAAAAAAAAAACCTTTAAGAATTGTGTTGTTTCAGTTGTAGTTTAAATAAGTGCTTTAAACGTGCAGAAAAAAATATTTTTTGGAGTGAAGGTAACTGTTCATTTTTGTCAAAATAAATAAACAGAGAAATTCCCCAATATGTTTGTATTGTTTGGTAGAAATCTTAGTGTGTTGATTTAACAGCCTAAAAAAAATGTCAAATGACTGGCAGCTATGACAAAATAAAAGTTTCAAATTTTAATTCAAATTAGGGAAAAAATGTAAAGTCAGTGTGTTTCAGTCAAACATTTAATGACGATCTGAAAAATGATTACTTTTGCACTTTATTTAGAAAGAAAAAGAGATTTCAGCTGCCAATCATTTGATCATTTTAACAGATTTTTTACAGTGTATTGTGTGTACTGAGGTTGTACATTACTACATTAAGCAATATTATATGAAAGCCTATGAGATTGTGCCTGTATTTATGATATAGCCTTTTATAAAGCAATTATTACAGCACATTAAAGGTTCAAGAAACCATCGAGTACTTTTAACACATTTTTTAACAGATTTGTGTGTGTTGAGCATCAGTTAAGACAGCATTAGCACCTGTCAGCTTTAATTGTGAATTTAGCGCAGAACTAGCAAAAATTGTCCACAGATTCTGTCTGGCCCTAATTATGGCTCAACCTTCCACTTAGTTTGTTAGAAAGGAAAGGAAAGGAAAGCTAATAGTTATGTAGCTGCTAGTTGAGCAGATGACATATCATTAGAATCAATTATATTCTCTTTTTTTAGCTGATTTAAAGAGTCGTGTCATATTTTGGTTTTGGGGTTCTCCAACAACAGGCTGATATGCAGGCAAGATCAAAAAAACACTTTCATTGTCTTATAACATGCATGTATTTTTACTTAATTATCCCAACCATTCCCATGATTTGTTTAGCGGTTTATTTGTTCCCAAACCCCTCCTTAGCGCAATACTAATCTGTACTAATTGGTCCGATGACCCAGTCTATTGTGATTGGTCGACTGTGTTCAGCACAGATTATCAACCAGCTCTGACAAAGTCCCATACATCAAGTCTTTTTTGATTCTTCCTTTAACAAACGGCAGATGAATCCCCCATTGTAAGCATGTAGATTGCTGAAGCACTCGTCAGAAAAATGACAGGAACACTGCATTTTTTGTAAAAATAATCTTCAACCACTGACTCTTCACAGCCTTATGTTTGGGTAGGTAAAATAACACTAACTTTCCCTCACACTTCAGAGCACAGCGTCTCTGCGAATTGATTCAAGCACTAGTGTTTGTCTGCTACAGTGTTTGTCTTCCTCTGTTTCTAACCACTATGAATTGACTCTTTTATAGATGAATCAATAGTTTTAAACACTGTGCACTTTCAGACTTGAGCCGGAGCTGGATATTTAACTTCACTTAGAGCTGTTACACACTGCATGGAAGGTCATTTTCAAAAATACATACGTTTAAATACATCTATTGACTAATCAGCGTCCACCCCACCGTCTTTAATTACTTAATAATAAAATAAATTTTAAAACTGCAAATGTGCTTCTCCAGGCAAACTGTAAGAGAGCTACAGTAACTAAAAGCTGAAACTCTTGTTGGCAGAGCATGCACAACAGCAAACCTCTAGAGATGAGACTCTGACGTCCAAAAAACTTGATCTTTTTGCTGGTCCTGCAGTATTATTATGTATAGTAAGGGGAAATGAGCAAGCGAAAAATTGCTAACCTCGATATTTGCTCTCTTCTAGCGGCTAACTGGAATTCTCCGTTAATGCTAATTTAAAACATGGCTTATTTTTCAGCGGATTTTTTCTTTCTTTCCTCCGATCCACAAGCGGATCTAGTGTGCAGACAAGACGGATCACACCACAGCGTCATTAAAATGCATCTGGCAAAGTCATCAACCCCAGACTGGTAGAGACTGTGGCTGCTCCAGATGTAATTAGACGTTTTTAAACTGGAGGGGGGAAATCTTCTCCTAGGGTTTGCCCTCTTTGACTTTGATTAGAAAGCTGAGTGGACTTCTCTATAAAAGTCTGTGCCCTGATGCTGAGCGTGAATGACAGAGCCATACATCACCAGCGTCCTACTTAACTGTGGGCTAACAGTCCTGCACGGCTCTGCTGCGTCTATGGCCTGGTTTCAATTGCATTTAGAACTCAGCAAATGAACGCTGCTGAATTTGCGCTCAGAAAAAAAGGGGGGAGAACAAATGGAACTGGCCACATTCTAGATTTAGAATGGACGAGCCCCTCCTGAGAACCTGACGGTGGCGATCTAGATTCTGGAGGACGGCACATGAACCCAGGAGAGGTTTCAGAGAATGTGTGTCATGATGTTCTGAGGTGAGACTCACCCAGTTTAGCCCCTTTCTTCAGCAGAGTGACCACTACTGAGGTGTTTCTGCTGCCGATGGCCCGGTCCAGAGGTCTCATGCCGCTGTAGTCCATGTGTTCAATCGCGGCTCCACATTCCACCAGATAATGCACCTGTAAACATGAATACGGCATCATTTTGAGACAAATATGTGTAGAGGGTGGTAGGAATCTTTAGGGACTTCACAATTTTAGGAGTCATGATTCAATTTCAAAATCATTCTTGACCTACATTTTTTCCTATTTCTTTGGTTGTGAAAATTCATCTTTCCAACTTTACATTGTAACCAGAATTAGAGCTTCTTTATGCTTTCGTTTATGATTGGATACATGTATGACAATACTGCCATCTTAAAATAAATTTGTTTTATTAACAAAGTTCTATTTAGACCTGTCACAATAATCAATATATCGTCTTTTTGCACAACACATGGACAGGACCTCAATCATTTTTGCACATAAAAAACGATTAATGTGCATCAATTTTGAAAATGTGCATAACTGAGTAGAATAAACTTTTTATTCGATAAGAAAAGATGCACATAAACTACAATGGAAACACTTTTACCGAACAAATTCCAGTTTGCACGTTAAAAAAGTCATGTGATTTTGTTTTAAGAGATCAAGTGATGATAAAATGCGTGTGAATGGACAAACCAGCAAGCTGAGCACATTGAAATGTTGTTTTGGTCATTCTAAAATGCCTTAACCATGTCAGTAATAGTGTTATTATATTATTAATTACCTCCAGAATAGTCAAGAGCATCTGCGCCTGTCTGTTGCCTTTAAACGCCACCATGCATTCATTGCATGTCGGCACTTGTCTTCTGAGATGAAATAATTTATTAAATAAAGAAAAAAATAATTATTCTATTTTTATATTTGATTTTTGCCAGTTAATCAGAAAGTGACGATTTTTTAATGCAATATTTAAGTTTTGCGCATACATTTTATTCAAATTTTTGGATGAAAACACAGCTAGTGTGGTTAATACAACACTTTTTAAACTATTTACTATTAATTTATTATTTACATTATTAATTTATGATTAACTATTAATTATTTTATTATATTTCCATGTGGGTGCCTGACAAGTGCAAATAGATCTAGTAGCAGATATCGCAGCCTCTGTTACTTATTACAGATTCCAAGATTATAATGAAATGAAATATTCTTAAGAATAAAAGGTTAAAGGTTCTTTGGAAGAGTGTACTTGCATTGTTTTGCTGTTATATTGTCATTCTGGTATTATATAATGAGTGGCATAAAATGGTCTTAAAATGACAATAATATGGTTGATCGCGATATATTTTGGTGCAATATATCGTAAAACAAATAATAGATATTGTGACAGGCCTAGTTATATTCAGGATGAACGAACTCTGAATGCAACATTGAAATGCAGATTACAAATATCAATTCTTAAGAACAAACAGTTCTCATTATAAAAAGAAAGCATTCGATCAAAATGTTTATATAAAAGCGATATTTGGAAATGACATTAGAGTTGCTTGTAGTTCAAAGCTACAGAGAACTTACTTTAAAACATGGTAGTACACAAAGTGTCATTCATTTGCATATCTTTGACTTTCATGCACGAATACTGATCTTTTCAAAACCATTATTTTCTATGCCATTTGTCCACATGAAAATGCAGTATCATGTTGCTCAAACCGAAACTTTCTGAAAACTCCAGCCAGGGGGAAGAGTTTCAGAAACTCCAGTTACAGTGTGGTCATGGCAACTAAAACGAGAGGTTTTGCATCATGACCTCAGCAGGTGTGCAGTTTTCTCCTTTATGATTGCCCAATATGGCTTTAATCGTGCTGGAGTCACATAGACGCGGCAGATGAGATTGACACGAGTTCTGCACGTTCACGGCAAACACGTTCCATAATGCGCATCATTCTCACTGCGTGACAGTAAGTTGTCCCCAATTCACACATTTGCATTGCTTTTGTATGTAACTTATACAGACTTAAAATACTTAATTCCGTGTTTGGTGTGAAGCAAGCATAAAACACTTGGTAACACTTTAGATTAAGGATCAGTTGACTTACATAATAAATCAAAGAAATAATATATGGCTTCTCAAAAATTGTAAATAATGGTTAAAATGCCTTTATGTTCAGTAAATCATGAATTACTGTATGTGTTTGCTCATGCTTAACTGATACAAAGTTATGAACAAGTTATACTATGATTTACAAGTTTAACCGAGTTTAAGTAGTGCATAATTCAGGACCCTTAAAATGTTTAGTTAACCATTAATTACTAGTGCTTTTGTTTTAACTAATGCTTGATTGTGAACTAATAAAACATTAATTAATGCATTATTTTGGACCCTTAATCTAAACTGTTACCAAACACTTTTATCACCACCTGTTGGTTTAGTATGATCTTAACAGTGCATCACTTAGCATTTTTTCATTTTCATGTGGACAGAGATTTGTTTTTAAATGAAGGCAGGGAAAACAACCCTTCATTAAAATACTGTGCACTTGTAAAAACATGGCAGCAACTTAAATTTGCAAGTTTCTTCATTTTTGACCAAGAGAATAGAATATATGTTTCTGTCAATGCTTAATATTTTTCTGTTTCTAGCTCATGCACGCACCTATTCTGAACTTTTGAGAATCATTAGAGGAAAAACAAAATGTATGCATTGATTTTTGCATGCATTTTCCCACTCCCACCTCTAGTTTTGTCTGCTAAACTTAAAATAATTTCAGCTCACTATGTCCGCGTCTCCGTAGAAAGCAGCCAGGTCCAGCGGAGTGCGTCCGTGCTTATCCGTGTGGTCAATCTGAGCGCCTCTGTCCACCAGAAACTCCACCACTTTCTTTTGTCCCTTCAGACATGCCCACCCAAGCGGGGTCAGACCCTCTTTATCCACTGCTGTCAAACACGCTCCTACAATGCAAACACAGAATGATGCCAGATTTGTCGCAGGAATTTTGCTGCAGTTGTAATATTAAAGCCTGTAAAGTCGAACATCTGAAATGTCACTCTAAATACAGAAAGCTTTTATGGCTCATATACTGTACACTCATCAGCCACTTTATTAGACGCACATCTTCAACCGTTTAATGCAAATATCTAATAAGCCAATCATGTCAGCAACTTGAGCAGTAAAGCGTGTTGATTTGCTTTAAAAGGAATTCAAAGAAATAGTTCACCCAAAAATGACATTTGTCATCATTTATTCACCTTCAATTTATACCCAACCTATTTCAATTGCATTGTTCTGCTGAACACAAAGGAGGATATTTGTAAGAATGTCAGTAACCAAAGAGATCTCAGCCATAGCTAGAAAAATAATTACTATAGGAGTAAATGAGTGGTGAGAACTGTTTGGTATTGACTTTCTTCCGAATATCTTCCTTTGTGTTGAGTAGAACATTAACATTTATAATAGTTAAAAAAAAACTGAGGGCCCTCCAGAGTTGGTTGAACTACCCTTTTAAGTGAGTTTGTTATATTTGTTAGAGCTAGACAGGATGGTCTGAGTATTTCAGAAACTACTAATGAACTGGGATTTTCATGCACAATCATCTTTAGTGTTTATAGAGAATGGTCCAAAAACAAATGCGTCAGAGGTCACAGTCTAGCTAAGAAAAACGCCTTCATTTTATTCAGAGACACAAACAAAGGCAGAACATTTGGTGCAGTGGCTAATAAGATCAAAAAGTCTGATCAACTGGGTTTCTGCAGGTTTCAAAGTCAAATTTAAAACCTTTTTAAGACCATTATGAATGAACTTTCAGACTTATACAGAGCTAAACACTAAGGGCCCTATCATACACCCGGCGCAGTGTGATGTAAGGCGTGACGCAGTAGTCTTTTAGTAGTTTCAGCTTGGCACAAGAGTCGTTTTGAGGCGTTGCGCTACGCTGTTTAAATAGCAAATGCATTAGCGCTCATTTTTGCGCCCATAGGCGTTCTGGTCTAAAAATGAAGCCGTTCTGAGGTGGACCGCTGGCGCATTGCTACTTTAAGAAACTATAATAGATTTTTTATTAGACCAAAACTAACCCGGTCTAAACTCCGACGCAGAGTTGCGCCTCGCTTACACACTGCTTAATACGCACAAGAGAGCAATAGGCAAATATCTTTACATATGAAAAAATATAAATATTAAGGATATATATAGTATATAATAAGAATAGATATAGGACATAAATATAAAGGATTAAAATATTACAAAACATATTATTTTCTAGCCTACATAAATATGAAAAATCACTGCTTTTATGTCTTCTTCATCTCGGGAGGTTTTTTCAGTTCATTCATAACAATTTGCTTTTGTATAATGTTATTATTATTAGCAGTATTATTTAATATATCCATATTTATATTTGTTTTATTAAAAACAAGCTTAGATTTGCCCACCTGTCAGGTTTTAGACCATATGGGGCACAGCATGTGTTTTAGGATATAACTCAGGTTTTTGAGCACATTTTGTTATTATTATTCATTTATTCATTTGCTGGAAATTAGAACTGAATTTAGAAATAGTTTTGAAACAAATATTTGCGCTTAACAAACAAAAGTATTTATTTATAGACTAATTGATGTCTGTGCGTAAAGGTTTCCCTATCCAAGAGCGAAAGTGAAAGTGATCCATTATCTCTCATTCTCACGCAGTAGATGCTCTGTTTAACAGTTTTCTGTTAAAAAACTGTTAACTGTTTGCTTGTGAAATGCTCATTTTTTCCACTTACACTTACTTTGCGTTCTGTAAATAGTTAATGCGCTCTTGGCGCGACGCAGCTGACTCTTAAAGGGAATGGGAGATGAGACTCTAATTGGTTTATTCCTAAAACACACCTATAACTCATTAGGAAAATAAACTCAACCCTTTTAGACCATGCGTCGAAGCGCAAGGCAGATTTCCCGTCCTTAAATTAGCAAAAAGCGTCCTGACACGCCCTGAAAGCGGCACCGTCCAAAAAATGGACCGTCAAAATAGAGCCCTAAGGATTTTTTTCTTAAGGCTTAGTTTGGGAAACAATATTTTTACCAAACCCAAACTCAAAGTAGCCAGAAGTCATTCATTTTCAGTGAGAACCGGCGGCGAGGATAGTAAAATCAAGTCAACTTTTTGGTATGAGCTATAATGCGGTTCGGTGGCAAGCAATCAGAATGAAGTAGTCCACCGCTTGAGAGGTGTTCAGAGAACACAGACCTGTGAACTTTGGTTCCGACCACAGTTGTTCCCGAGAGTTTGATTATTGCGGTTGCCGGATTTACAATTATTAAAAATCGTGATGACGCAGGGCCCCCTAATCATGCGGGCCTGTCCGCTACGCCACTGACAACATAAATGTAAGGAATTATTATTATTATTAATTCCAGTACTTTTATATACAATTCTTAAGCAGGAAAGAGAAATTTCCACAACATGTGTAAACTCTGATGTTAATAACTGAGGTCTTTTTTATGATCTTATTGAGTTGCGGGTAAACTAAGGACTCCCATGCCCCAATCACTGACCCTTTGAGAGCAGGAAGTCCACAGTCTCCAGGTGTCCCTCACTTGCAGCCACCATCAGTAGAGAGCGACCATGTTTATCACCGCAGTTCACATCTGCACCGCGCTGAAGAAACAACTCTGCAATCTGCAAATACGTAAAAGAGATGAGTGACGTCAATGTAAAATTGGACTTTTTTTTAAACGTGTAATAAAGGGTCATACTTGTGTGTGTCCATGTCGCACTGCATTAAAGATGGGTGCAACCCCTCTGCGGTTTGGCTGTGTTACAATGGCACCTTGATCCAGCAGGAACACACAGCCCTCCTGTTTGCCCCGTCCAGCAGCAGCTGTTAGAGCTGAGGAAGATGTGCATGTTAACGCCTGTCAACATGGGAAGCTGTCACTGCATCCAAATTATATAGTTGGCAAAATACCATGTGACAAACTCAGTAACACTTTTACTTTAAATGGTAACATGTGAATGAGATTTTATGCATGCTTATGACAACTGTCATTACTGTAAGTGTCATTCGCTTAGTTATGTCATTTTAAATGCAAAGGTAAAGAGATGTCTTTGTAACAACAACTTGACATAACCAATACATCATAACCTTTCTTTTTCTTCTTTATGACAACTTGACATTATCGAGACAACATAACTTGTCATAAATCTGTCATAAACATGATTGTCATTAGTGGGGATGCAACAATTAACCGTTTTAAATATTAACCGTGCTTTAATTCATCACGGTTAATTAATCGTTAAGGCTTCTTAACACCGCGTTTCTACATGGAACACAACTGCTGTAACTAAACAAAGCTGTGCCGACTGTGCGCTAGTTTGAAGTTCCGAGCTTGTACACTGAGGCTACATATGTTCTCTTTAAAGGAAAATATTTACATTTACATGATTAAATACTTACAATAGATTTACATTAAACAGACAAAAAGTTTTTATTTATTCTTATTTTTATTTATTTATTATTGTTCAGTCACTTATTTTCAGTGTAAAATTACTTGTGTTTAAATGTCGAAAACTCTTTTTTTTTTTTACTTTACCAAAGAGAAATGGACTATTGTTTGTTTTATTATTATTTTGTGTTGTATTTGTGTTGTATTATTTGGTTACTAAGCTGCAATAATAACACTTTAAAATATAAGGAGTTATCATGGGATTTTTTAAACTACTGTTTTGAAATGAATAAATGGATAATAATGATGATTATGCCTCAGACTATAATCGTACAACCAAAATCTATAATCGCATCCCTAATCATAAGGCTATTATAATTGTCATGAATTTCATAAAAAGCATCACTACTATTTTTTCTTGACCTCAACTACAGTGGTAAAAATGGAAATTTAATGACACTGTTATAAACTTATTTAGCACTTTTACTTAGCAGATTTAATCACAAATTCAGTTTGTCCCTTTGAAAAATGTAAATAGGTTATTATTCATTATACAATTACAATAGCCTCATGACATTCATGTTCATGACAGATTTATGACAAGTTATCCTGTCTTGGTAATATCAAGTTGCCATGACAAACACTCAAAAAATGACTTCTGCTGCTTGTTCAAACTACTTATTTAAAATGAGTTCAAACAACACAAATCTTATGTTTTTTAGAATAACTTAAATGTTTTATTTAATTTGATTTATTCAATTAGTGTTGAGACAACATGAAGGAATTGTGTGGAACCAAGCATTTTTTTTACAGTGAAGACAGGTTCTGCAGCCTTTGACTACATATGTTCTCTTTAAAAAGGAAATACTTCCATTTACATGATTAAATACTTAAAATAGATTTACATTAGACAAAAAAAAAAGATTTTTATTTATTCTTATTTTTATTTAATTATTCATTGTTCTGTCATTTATTTTCAGTGTAAAATTACTTTTGTTTAAATGTACAAAACTTTTTCACTTATTTTTAAGTCCAAAGAGAAATGGACTATTGTTTGTTTTTTACTATTATTTTGTGTTGTATTATTTGGTTACTGAGCAGCAATAATAACACTTTAAAATATAAAGCGTTATCATGGGATTTTCTAAACTAGTGTTTTGAAATGAATGAATGCATTATGCACAATGCAGGGTTATTATTCCTCAGACTATTATTGTACAACCAAAATCTATAATCGTTGCATTCCTAGTCATAAGGCTATTACAATTGTCATGAATTTTATGAACCACATCACTACTATTTTTCTTGACCTCAATTACAGTGGTAAAAATTATTTGACACTTTGACTGAGCAGAATTAACCACAAATTCAATTTGTCCCTCTAAAAAAAAAGTAACCAGATTGTTATTCATTATACAATTATAATAGCCTCAAGACATATGGGCTGTGTATAGGGAGGATCAGGCCTTTAATGTTTATTACAACCCTTCATAGAAAGATTAAAAATATGGGAGAATTGCAGAAAAACACCTTTATGGGATATTAGTGGGATAGAACTATAAAATACGGGAGAATCCCAAGAAAAAGGGAGAGTTGACAGGTATGTGACATTCATGTTTATGACAAATTCATTACAAGTTATCCTGTCTTGGTAATGTCAAGTTGTCATGACAAATACTCAAAAAATACTTTTGCTGCTTGTTCAAACTATTTAAAACGAGTTAAAACAACACAAATACTAAGTCTTTTTTGGGAGACAAGTTAATTGTTTTAGGTTCAATCCTCCTAAATTTGTAAATATTTGTGTTATGTCAAGTAGTCTTGGCAGAGACACCTTAAACAATGTTATCATTGCATTTCAAAGAACATAACTGAGTGAATGACACTTAATGACAGTTGTCATAAGCATAATTATGAAGATGTCCCTCATACTTATTACATGCGTCATGTCAATGAAGAATCTAACTATGAATCTGAGAATTCTTGCAGCAAACCTATATATGTGTGTTGTTTAAGAAATCAACCATTTATTTGTGTTGCGTTTTATTTTCATTTAGTTTTATTAATTAATTCTTCATTTCATTAAATCATATGATCATTAGTCATATATATATATATATATATATATATATATATATATATATATATATAATTATCATTATATTATTTTATTGATCATTAGTTAATGATTTGATTATTATTTGTCATTTTATTATGTTTTATATTTTATTATTATTTTTTTTCTATAATTATTGCTTCGTTATTATTTCATTTTTCCATATTGTTATAATCTTAAGAATGTGGATTCAAGCGACACTTGTTTTCATGAGTTAGAGATAAGAAAATGTCTTCATTTCAAGCTCTGTATTCTCTCTGGACAATGTTGTGAAGCAGTAATTTTCCATTGCTGTTGCATGTGGTATATTAACACACATTAAAAACCCCAAAATTTAAGGTAACATTTAGGGGAAACCGATTGGAACAAACCATTCAAGTTCAAAAACTAATCCAAATGAGTACTGTGAACTTAATCCATTTAAGTAAAAGAAGCAATTCGAGCACAGTAAAACCCAACAAATGAAGACAACTGAGTAAAACCCAATAAGGTAAGGCAACTCAAACCATTTGAGGAAACCGATTGCAACAAAACATTTGAGTAAAAAAAACCCTAATCTTTATGAGTACTGTGAACTTACTCCACTTACTCCATTTAAGTTGAAGCAATAAGGTATTTATTTAATTAACTCATTACCTTTAACACGGAGTTTAAAACTCTTTTCAAATGAGTAGAATTAACTTTGTCAATTTTGAGTTAACTACACTCATTTCATTTGGCAAAGTTGACTGTTGAGTTTTACAGTGCACTTGTTAGATTTATCCTGGTCAGACGAAGTCTGAGCATTAAATCATACGCAACTAAGAATATTCAATAAACTCTGCTCTTTCTTTATCATCATGACTTTAACCTGCTTCTGCTTCTCTCTGGCTTTCTCAGTCAACTCCTATATTGATGGAGGACTGTTAATTCAGTTGAATACTGGTTAACAGGTTTTGGTATTGAAACTGCTGACTTGTTGTCCAGATTCCAAGAGAAACTGACATTTCCTGACAAGATTTGCTGTCCGTGGCTGGATCTTATTTATCTGGCGTGGAGATGGTTGTTCTAACATCATAATTATAAAGGTGTCATTACAGTCATCAACGCCTCCTTCAAATGAATTGTTACCACAAATCCCATATGACAAAAACAGTATTCTTTTGCAGCATTCTGGAGATTCTTGTGTGTGTGCGTTTGATGGACACTTTACTGTCCCACAAAGCCTTTGGAGAGTTGTAGTATATGAGGATTCCATTCATCCTTCCCACATTCATAATATTCAAACTGTACTTATAAAACAATACTGCATTTAATGATAAATCTTTTACAGGTCATTTATTTACTGTGTTGTCAAATAAACAAACTAACTAAATGCAGTGCAATGTTGTGTATTAACAAACCTGTTTCACCCCACAACGTATCATGACCATCAATCTGCACTGAAAACTCATCATTGTTCAACGCCAGCATCTTTTTTACCACCTGTGAATGCACATCAATGACATTTCGATGATTCAAGATACAAGATGACTGTATGTTCGTATGTGGGTGTTGAGTGTGTGTGTGTGGGTTCTGTGTTGTTATCCAAGTCGAGGTGAAGTCATGTTTGTTTACCTAATACAGGTTAATAAAAAAAAGTTTCAGAGTAATATGCAGAAGAATAATTACTGTAAAGAGAGAATTAATTACGCAAGTGCCAATTATGACACATACAATGTGAACTGTAAAGCAGCTCTAAAATCAACTGCATTCTTCAGCTCAACGTTGATTCAATATCAGCTGTTTAATAACGTGTGAATGTGAAGTTAAGTGAGTTTAATTCAACTACTAAACAGTTCTACAGAAAATATTTTTTAATATTCAGCTTAACATCTGCATTGTTTTGATGTGGAAATAATGACTATGGCTAGCATTGGTTTTTCATGATTATTAGGAGATATCATGCTATGAGTAGACTCTTCATTTAAATATTTAGCTGAACTTTGTGCGATCATGGGCAGTAAGTAATGTATTTTTTGTTTATCGCCATGTCAGCAACCAAGGCTATTTTCATAGCAAGAACATTTTTATATTACATATACAATTAAAATCAACAAACAAATGAATTCATAAATTAAATAAGATTTTTGGTGCTAATATATGGTAAAGATTCTACATTTTTTTCCTGGTGTCACTTTGCTAAAAATGTCTTTTTGCTAAAAATGTTCATTTCCTAAAAAAGTTTTCTGGAATCATTAAAAGCAGGACAGTTCAGTAGAATGTGTTCTACTGTGAGAGGAATTGTGAAGTACAAACATTGAGTAAAGCCCTGGTCAGACCACACGATTTTTATTGCCAGATATGAAAGTCACCATGTCAGATTGTGTGATTTTGTCTTAATAAAATCTTGACTTGTCGTGGGTAACAAATTTGCCACACTACATGTTCCTTCACGATTAGTGATACCATGACGTCTATAATGAGCGTTATTTCCCAAAGCAAGTGTTGCTATAACAATATTTCTTATCTTATTTTAAATTTTTTTTTGTTTTCTACATTATTAAGGGCATTCGTGATGACATTGATAGGATCAAACGGATATTTCCTTTTTAATATTAAGATATTTTCTTTTAAACCCAAATGTTTATTTTCCAGCCATTGGTTGCTTATTAAACACTCCCACAGAGAAAATGAAAGCACATCAGCCCCAAAGAAAAAATCAAGTGCTCAAGACATATTCTTTAAAATAATGACATATTTTGCAAATATATGACAGAGGTTTGTGATACAACTATTACAGTGAAGCATTAATTAAATCCTTAATTTCCACAGTGGAACAAATCATCCACCCAAACAGTTCAGTAGTGGACGTGTATTTTTCCTGGAGATTGATATTTATATATCATTTTATATAATTTGTATCTTAATTTTAAAGTATTTTTGTTCGTCAGTTAACTAATAGATAAACAAGAATAACCAAAAACACCTGAGGTGATGTGCTTCTGCGCCAAAGCACAAACTGGTTTGTTAAATAAAATAAAATCTAGCCTAAATAAAGTGAAAGTGAAGTATTTTCAGAAAAACCTATATTAAACTTTTCATTTTTAATGACAATCTATTGCCAGTGAGTTTCAATTTAATTAGTTTAGTCAAGCAATTTGAATAAGCAAGACAGGGTTTTACAATGTATTAGCAGCAATAAACGTGTTCTCAGGTTACCTCGGAAGAAAAATTTCATTCAAAAGGCTGAGAGAAGTCAGATACTCATTGTGAGAATGGAGATGTCTGCAAATTTGTGCCAGTCTGTCAAATAAAATTGCTTAAAACACTCCACCTGCGACCCACCCATAAGTAAATATGCAACCTATTTTTTGACCTGACCGCCGTATTAATGGCAGCATCTGCGGATATAACTGAGAAATTTTGTGCTGTAATCTACAGCAAGATATCAATACCATGGCAAATGAATGATAAATTTGCGATAAAGTGTCCATTTGTGGAAAACTGATGATTTTAAGTCCATCAAAGCAAAATAAGACCATCAGAATTTGCAGACTGTTGTGTTGGTGGTCTCCATCTCCTTCATGAACATCTCCATTCTGACAGCATTTTTCAAACCCCTAATCAGTGCTTAAATGGGGGATCCCATGCCTTTTTTTTTAAATAAATGTAGGGAATATGTGATTGGTAATGGTTTACTGTGTGTATGTGTGGTTGGGGAGTGTGCTTTTAGTACCTGTGTGTGTCCCATGCTGGAGGCTGCAATTAGTGCCTGCTGCAGTGCCTTGTTCTTCAGGTCTGAGCTCCAGTCCTGCTCCAGAAGATACTGCAGGATCTCAGCATGACCCCGCAGAGCAGCGTGAACCAGTGCACACTGACCACTCTTATCTGCATGATCCACCTAATAAAACATGCATACAGTTTTAATGGCACATTAATCACTGTGAAATGAATAAAGTGACCCTAGTTTAAGTAGTGTGTACCACAGCTGCTTGTGAAAGTAAGAAGTCTGCAGAGATTATAGTGCATGGTAAATGGAGTTGAATCTAAACAGCCTAAATCCCTCTGCACAAAACTTAATAGATTTGTAACAGATTTGAACACAGCCAGCTAATGGATTTTATTGGTTGGCCAATTTAAATGTAGTTTTTGCTTTTAATAATAAAATTAAAACTTTATTAGAATATGTGATCTCGTTATGTCGAGATCACAAGAAAACAATTTGTTATGTCAAGATCACAAGATAATTAGGTTGTGATCACGACAAAACAAGAGAGAAAAAATATTTGAATGCATGGCCTCCCTCCTAGGACTTCCGCAACAGAGTGAATGGTTGATTAATATTTTCAAAAGCTTTTTCCTAAAATATGTGTCAAAATAAGATGAGTCACCAAAAATCATTCCATTAGCTGAAACACAAAGAAAGATGTGGTCAAAATAAGACTCAAAATAACCCCAGAGTGGATGAAAACATCCTCAACAGCAAAAAGGGTTCAATGCGTCAATGTTCAATGCTAAATGAGATTGAAAGAGAATAAATAAAGTCCAATAGAAAATGAGCAGCCTCTAAAACAGTAAATAGGGACAACTGAATTAGTTTTAGCTTTTAACACAGTTGTCACTTTTCTCATACTGTATTATTTAATCCATATTATAATTTACAATTCCTGTGGGAAAAAGTGTTAAAAAACCTTCAGTTCACATATATTTCTTATAGGAGTTTAATTGAGAAAGAACAAATCAGAATACCTCGCGCACTACGCAGTACAGAGTGTGCAAATATGATTTAAAATAAACTAAATGCAAGAAACTTTTCACAGCTTGAAGGCAGAATTGTTTATATAACCAAATTTACCGAACAACAAAATAACTGCTCTCTTTTTTCCTGTTGTGCTCAGTTTGATTGACATGTACGTGCGCACCCTATGAAGTACTTAAAATTAATGAGCAGAACCACATTTAATCACTGTCAAACTGTTCGAACAGTGGGCTCTCATTATAAAAATAAATAGTTTTTTTGTTTCTTTCTTTCTTTTGTCAGTAAAATGCATTTTTTCACCATTTTAAGTATCATCATCACTTTTGGAACGGAAGTATTTTGGATATGATGGATACACTCAACGGCCACTTTATTAGGTACACCTATCCAACTGCTCGATAACACAAATTTTTCATCATCCTGTAGACATGGTCAAGACGATCTGCTGCAGTTCAAATCAAGCGTCAGAATGGGGAAGAATGGCGATTTAAGTGACTTTAAAGATAGCATGGTTGTTGGTGCCAGACAGGCTGGTCTGAGAATTTCAGAAACTGCCGATCTACTGGGGTTTTCACGCACTATAATCTGTTTACAGAGAATGGTCTGAAATAGAGAAAATATCCAGTGAGCGGCAGTTTGGGTGCAAATGCCTTGTTGATGCCAGAGGTCAAAGGAAAACAGCCAGACTGGTTCGAGCTGATAGAAAGGCAACAGGAACTTAAATAACCACTCGTTATAACCGAGGTATGCAGAAGAGCATCTCTGAACGCACAAACACCTCCAACCTTGAGGTGGATGGGCTACAGCAGCAGAAGTCCAAAAGTGTATAGTGGTATGGGAATTGCATGTCTGATTAATCATTTATTGAGTTTTTTTTTTGTTTGTTTCTTGCACAAAAAGATCAGTGATTATGTTTTTTGGGGGCTTTTTTTGACAAAATGGGTTTGATCCAGAACCGCCATTAATGTTAGGGTAAGTCCGGCGAAGTGTCTGAATCATTTATAGCCGGATTTTGTATTAAAAACTGGTTCAGCTGACCTTTGCCCCCTTTTTGCAGAGTAAAGTGACAAGCGGCAGATGTCCAGCAGCTGAGGCGTAGCAGAGGGAGGTCATGCCGTTTTCTGACTGCCCGTCCACAGGAGCCCCGCTCTCCAGGAGCAAAGCTGCCATCTCCAGGTGGCCCAGATGAGACTGTACACACAGCACCGGTGCACTGTTCAACACCTCAGTGCGGTAACAAACACTCGCCCCTCCCAAGATCAGCAAGCGGGACACCTGGAGAGACCAGACCAGAGATTGTGATTGGTTCAATAATTACTAGAATGGTTTCAACAACATGGTTGCAGTTAGATATGAAATTCAGCTCGATAACAGTATTTAAACCAACACTTCAGAATTATGCTACAGCCAGGAAGATGATATAACAATATAGCAAAAACACTAGAACTAGAATAGAAATGCACATTAACACTATCGGAGCAATAAAAAGATTGAGAAATAAATAGGATTTCTTTAATAATTACACCTTAATTTTTATGTAGGATTGGGCATGGCTAATGTAATTTAAATCGGTCAAAACTTCTGGTCTCATTCACTTCCATTCATTTGTAGCCATTCAAATTTGTTGTGCTGAATAATATTGCAAACTGGTATTGTCTTATCAAAACATTTGCCATTTAAATGTACTGTCACACCGGTTTGTAGTGCAAGCTGTTTGACCTTTTATTGCCATTTGCTATTCCCAGTTTTTTATCCATGTAACCACAAAATAATTCACAGAAATGAATGCTGCATTGAAAAATGAAGTCTACCAATTCGCAAAATAAACATCTATAAGCTCAATTTACAGACCATTTCAGCAATCTTCTATCTGTAGCCTCAATCCAATCAGTAAATCTTAAAGCTATATCTACAGCTTTAATCGTCTTTAGGGACAATATATAGCTTAAATCTAGCATGCAATCTATATGACCGAACGTACAGTTAAAGCTAAATTTTTAGCCCTCCTAGGAACGTTTCATTCATTCATTCATTTTCTTTTCGGCTAAGTCCCTTTATTAAGCACTACCTACTGCGCCACTGCGTCACTCCTATGAAAGTTTCATTCTTTTACAAATATTTCCCAAGTGTCGTTTATTGAAGCAAGGAAATATTGACAGTATTTATTATATATTTTCTTCTGAAGTTTACTTTAGTTTGGCTGTAATAAAAGCACTTCAATGTTTTTAAAATAGATTTTTAAGGTCAATATTAGCCCCCTTAAGATTCTTTTTTTTCCTAAGTGGCTACAGAACAACCTACTGTTGTCCTATAACTTGCCTAGTTAAAACAATTAACCTAGATAAGCCTTTAAAATGAACTTTTTAGCTAAATACTAGTATCTTTAAAAATAACAAGTAAAATATTGTGAATTGTCTTCATGGCAAAGACAGAATAAATGAGTTTTTAGAAATGAGTTATTATAGCTTTTGCAAAAGCATTAAGGGTGTGTCCGATTCCACTTTTGCTATTTTAAGGATGGAAAAATATGCTCAGCGTCACAGCACATGGTCTAACAGGGTTGTGCTTATTCTCTTAATGAGTTGTGGGTGTGTTTTGAGCACAAAATGCGTTAAACCAATCAGAATCTTCCATGTGCTTTAAGACTCAGTTGTGTCGCGGCATGGCACATTTGCAGTTTACATGAAAAAACTGAATGCTTTACTAGCCAGAAGTCAGTTGAGGATAAGGAATGAGCCTCCTCCAATTAGGCCTCTTTACTTTCTCTTTACTTTACTTTTACTCCTTTTCTTTCTTGGATAAGGAATTTAATTTTGTTTGTTAAGCGCAGAGATTTTTTTCAAAACTATTTCTAAATTCAGTTTTTATTTCCAGCAAATGAATAAATGAACAATAATAACCAAGTGTGGTTAAAAAACACCACAGTTATATGCAAACACACGTCCTGTGCCCCATATGGTCCAAAACCTGATAGAATCTAAGCTTGTTTTTAATAAAACAAATATAAATATACAAATAATAAATAATCCTCCTAATAATAATAACATTATACAAAAGAAAATTATCATGAATAAATGGAGAAAATGGAGGTGAAGAAGGTATAGAGGCAGTGTTTTTTTATATTTATGTAGAAAATAATCCTTTGATCCTTTACAATTTTTGTGAAGATATTTGTGTATTGCTGTACATCCTGTGTGTATTGAGCAACGTTTATGCGTTTGGACTACAATGTGTCTTAACAGAAGTCCTTTTTAGACCGGCACACCGATGTGTCCAACAAGGATTTTTTATTTAAACAACATGCTGCAAAATGTGAAAATCAGGGCTGCGCTGGTTTGAAAACAGCAAAAAAAATTGCGCCAAACATGTCTTGCGCCTTATTGTGCTGGGTGTATGATAGGGCCCTTTATCGATAAATATGTGATGAAAAAACTCCATTAAACAGAACTTGGCAAACATTTGAAAAAAATTCAAATATCAAAGGAGGCCTAATTATTTAGTAACAATTAATTGTATAGCTTTAATTTCAAAGCTATATTTCCAATCTACAGATTTAAGCAAAGGAACAGCGTCAATCTATTATGATATATCAAAAATTCAAGTCAATTCAACCGAAGTCAGCTTCAATTCATAACCTCAGTCTGTACAAGTTACAATATCAACAGCTTCAATCTATAACCTCAACCTGTATTAACAATCTAATCAATTTCAGTCCCTTAACATCAGCCATTCTGTCAGCCCGAGGTATTGGGCGTGGTTACCATACTTAGCCACGACCCTCCAACTGTAAGTTTTGAAACAAACAGGAATGCTGAGGAGGAGGTGTCTGTTAGGTTGTAATAACTCTCTCGAAACCCTTTTTCCTGATCTTTTCTGAATCAAAGGCCTACTTTACTACATACAATGAGTTTGCAGTAGAAAAAATAAGCCACACCATTTAAAATATTGTTTCTCTAGGAACTGTGTCACAATACGGAAAAATAAACAGTTTCAGCATTTGGTTATTGGGTGTGGTTTATATATGTTTCTTTATTTAACCAGATAAAAACCATTGAGATCTAGATCTCATTTAAAAGGGTGACCTGGCCAAAAGGGTCTGCAGCACACGATTTATAAAAAAAAGTAATAATAATAATATTAATAATAATAATAATAATAATAAATAGAAAATTAATATATTACAAAAATACAGTTCAGTTTTCCAGCTTTACTACATTTCAAAATATTGAAAACACATACATTGAGAAATGGACTGTTGTTGTTTGTTAAAAAGGATAGAGTGAAACGATGTCATTGGGATGAGCTTAGATATCTTTAGTTCAGACTGAAGACTTTGACTTTAAAACAGAGACAGTAACACTTTACTTGAAGCAGGTGTTCATAAGACTGTCATGACACCTTTATAATCATGACATGACACATCACGTATATAAAGAAGATTTTATACAAGCTTTTGACAATTGTCATTGAGTGTCATTACCTCTGTTTGTCATTCTAAATGCAAAGATGACATTATTTGAGATGTCTTTAAGACACCTTGAAAAACAAATACATCTTGACATTAGCAAGACAAAACTGTCATAAACATGATCCTTACATGAGACATGTCTCAGATTCAAGCAAATCAACTGCGTCAAGCATTTTATATCATAAAGCTACATGTGCAACGCAAGTCAGCTTCAATTCACAACCTCAGTCTGTACAAGTTACAATATAACAGCTTCAATCTAAAACTTCAACAATCTACTCAATTTCAGTCCCTTTACATCAATTTCCTGTCCATCTCTGAGATTATTGTTTACTCCTTGTCACGTCTGATTACTGTATAAATCTAAAACTATATACCAGAACCTGCTAATTTCTTACATCACCTTCATTAAACACTGAAAGGCATAAAAAGTCGTCAGTCGGTGGCTGAATAAACAAAACCTGGCTCTGTTTGCTTTTTTTTTTTTCTCCGATGTGGACATGGGAAGTGTGGTAATGGAGTCTTGATTAAGAAGCTGGATGAAGCGGTAACACATTAAAAGCAAAAAGAAAGCAGAATGGCATTTATTTATACAAACACAGCAGGAATTAATGAGCAGCTCTCCAGCCAAATGGCTGTCAAGGACGCCGGCGTGCACACGGCGCGGACTCGAGAGTGACGCTCGTTTCATTAAAACTCCACAGGAGAGGAAATTACAGGGAGAGCCGTGTCTAGACTGCAATTAACATATAATAGATTTAATAAATAAATGTAGTCATTACGTAAGCCGTTTTTCAGTAAGCCTCAGCGCTAATTACTATGTTTCTACGTGACTTCTGAAATCTCATTCATTGTGGATGACTCAAAGCTCTGTAAGGCTATATCTCTTCTTGTGCGGTTGAATGCGTCAGCCGCGGTAATTGTTGGAGCTGTGTTCTACAATTCGGTAGCGCAAAAGCAGTTACTCGTTTTTATTTATTTATTTTTACTCAAGATTGACGTTGCTTTTTATAAGTGATGGTCTTATTGGTACTTTGAGGGTGAGTAAGCGTTTGTTTATTGTGTGTGTGTGTCTTCAGACCTTGACATTGGGTGTGTAGAGGTTTCTGAGGGAGGAAAGAGCTGCGGAGAGGCTGTCTGTGCTGTAGCTGATCCACAACGGCTGCAGAACGCTCGACGAAACCCCTGTTCTCTTACTGTGGCCCTGAGGAGAGACAATGAGAGGTTAAAGTACAAATGAAATCAAAACTAACCATATGATTTGTGTTAGCTCATTGCTAGTTTTGTGGTGAATAATTAATCTGTGCATGTCATTAAGAAAAAAATAGTTTGCACTTATAATCTGAAATGAAAATCCAAAAATGCACTTACATATTGTTTTTTTAGTTAAATTCTCAGATTATGTCTGTTTGTGGTGTTGGGCGTGGCTTACATACTTGACCACGCCCCTCTAACTCTCAGTTTTGACAACAAACAAATGCTGAGGAGGAGGTGTCTGTTAGGTAACTCTTCTAAAACCCTTTTCCCAATCTTTCTGAATAAAACGGCTACTTTACTACATCCAATCAGCTCACGGTAGAAAAAACAATCCACGCCCACTGTTGTCTCATTTAATATTCTGTTTCTCTAGGAACTACATCACAATACAAAAAGAAAAGAAAAAACTGTTGCAGTTTCCGGTTTATCTGGAGATGGCAACACTTTACCTGAAGAAGGTGTACATAAGACTGTCATGATACCTTTATAATCATGACATGAGATGCTAAGTACGCTTAGGATAACTGTCATTGAGTATCATTAGCTCTGCTGTGTCTTTTTAAATGCAAAGATTTTATTTTTATTTTTATTGATGCTTCAATAACAAACATACAAATTCGAACATACACAAAAAAGACAGTGATAGTAGCAATGAAAAAACCTTAACAGAGCATGTAAAATTATACTGTAAATACATATAAAACAGTGAAAAAGAGGAAGAAAAAAATTAAATAAACATAAATAACACAAATATAGCAAGTGGAAAGCAGTATTTATGCGTCCGGGATATTTCAAAAATAATTATCATAATATTCTAAGAATATTTTAAATGCAACAATGACATTATTCAAGATGTCTTTATAACACCTTGCCAAACAAATACAGATTTGTCATGAACTTGATTATGTCATTTAGCAAGACAACCAAACTTGTCATAAAACTGCCATAAACATGATCGTTACATGAGGCCATGTAATAGAGTCATGAACATTTTTCTGATGACTTTTTTCAGTGGAACAAACTGAATTTGTTGTTAAAATGACTTAGTAAAAGTGTCAAAAAGTGTCATATATATATATATATATATATGCATGCATATAATGAAATCAAAAGCTTGTGTTTTAGATGTGATTAACCATGATTTTTATCGCACTTTTGTCAGTTTTGTCATAAAGAGTTAAAGACACATAATAACAGTTGTCATAAGCACGTATAAAATCTCCTTCATTTTATTATATTATAAAGGCCTCATGACAGTCTTATGAACAACCCCAACCAATTCAAGAAAAGTGTTACCATGGAGATTAAATCACTTTATTTAGTACAGAGCTGAATTTTTTGATCATCCGTGTCTCTTACCTTGAATATGTGAGCCTTGAGGATGTGGTGGCCAAGCTCCATGGTTTGTTGACGGTTGAGTTTTCCCTCTTGACGAGAAAGCATGAAGGCCATCAGAGCGTGGCCACTTCTGCACATAGACATCAATGACAATTCATCACAAATATATTATATATTCATCAACATTGAACACGCGCATACGTATTCATTATAAAATTCCTTCCACTGAGGGAGAAGAGTAGAGAATGGTTCTTTTTCAAGGTGACCATCCTTCTCATATTATGCCATCTTTTTCTGATTATACTATATAACCAGTATGACCAGTTCATAACTTTAATTCTTTTGGGGTGGTGGTTGTAATTGTCCTTTTATTGAATGGAATTGGGTTTTTCAATTGTTTAATTGAGTAATTCAAGAGGCAGCACAGTGGTTAGCAGACGGTCTGTGGCTAGAGTCCCGGTTGGGCCAGTTGGCATTTCTGTGTGGAGTTTGCATGCTCTTCTCCTGTTCATGTAGGTTTCCTCCGGGTGCTCCGGTTTCCCCCACAGTCAAAAGACATGCTCTATAGGTGAATTAGATAAACTAAACTGGCCGAAGTGTATGAGTGCGAGTGTGAATCTGAGAGTGTATGGGAGTTTCCCAATACTGGGTTGCAGCTTGAAGGGCATCCGTTTCATAAAACATATGCTGGAATAGTTGGTCGTTTGTTCCGCTGTGGCAACAAATGGTTTCATCTTCTGACATTTGATTATTAGCTGCATCAAATAAATGACAGAATATCTGAAAAAAATGTTCACTAAAACACTGCTGTTGGTGGTTTTCAGTCATAAAACTATTGGTAAATATTAAATGTTAAGCTACTTATAGGCCTACAGAAATCTGCTCATTTTTGACAATCAACGGCGATATATTTATGTAAATGTGTGTAAACATACATTAATTGAGTTTGAATATCAATTTCAGCAATTTGTAATAATAAGGAATAGGTGATAAATATTCTATACAGTTTGCAATGTAATATTTTCTGTATTTTAGTAAAATATCTGTTTATTAACAGTTTCCGTACTTTGGGATTCACAATGTGTTTTCTGTTTATTTACGATTGTGAATTGCATAATGGGACCTTGATCTCTGTTTTGTCAGCTTTTGATGTTGAAAACTCAACTCTACAATGCACCAAAGTGACCTTTAATGACATCTTAGTAGTTTGAAATAACAATGCATAGGAAATAATATAGATAAATAAGTCTGTAAAATAACACAAAATGCACTGGCAAGTTTATGAAAAGGTTTTTTGTACTGTGATAAACAACATCAACCCAGCCAATATATCACTGTAAACTACTAAAAATGTTCACAAGTCACTTTTTCAAACATTTCAAGGTTAAAAGTTGTTGGAGAAAAGATCAAGGTCCCATAACGCAATTCAAAAGCAGGGGCGGATTTAACCAATAAGCAAGGTAAGCAGCTGCTTAGGGCCCCAGGACATCCAATTATTAAAAATGTAAAGCTTATATTAGGATAAACTGTAGAAAAGAAGATTGAGTAATATAAAATACAGCAGAATAAATAAAAAATATTAAAAGTAGAAAGGGACTTGGGACCCAATGGCTAGAGTTGCTTAAACCCCCAAATCACTAAATCCGTCCCTGTTCAAAAGCATACATAAATGGGGAAAAACAAAAACATGAATCCCAAAATACGAAAAACTGCTAGTTTACGAATAATTTTTTATAGTGTGTATGCAATATATAAGAGACTTACTGTAGCTTTATTATTATTTTTGTTTCTTGTGCTAAGTTTTTAGTTTCTATACTCAAAATAATTCTGCATAAATTAGATTATTTTGCTTTATTATTATCTTTTTTCTTTTCTTTCTTTCAAATGTCTACGCAGAAACAGCAACAAAAAGAATCTGCAGATTCTGTCAAGCCCTGCTTATTACCTATACTCTTCACCATTCAAAAGTACTGAAGTGTTTTGGCATCCACAGAGATCAAAACGATCTTCCTTCAGTCATAGCAACAGAAGCAGAATGTTTCAAATCAGTAATTTCCAGATCGAATATTGTGTCTTTAAAATGTAGCTCAATCAAGTCCTCTTAAAAGACTGGTTGTCCACAAAAAGCAATGCACAAGAGGACAAAATCATGTTTTTCTAGTGTTCTTAGTGTTATAATTGTGATCTCCACTGTGTTAATGAACAACAGTAAAGCTCAGAGATCTTGGTCATTTTGACAATAATGAGTACTGCTGGACCAAAAACCTTTATCATACACACAACAAACAGAGCAGCTCTGAAAAAATAAAAATAAAAATAAATATCGGGAAGTAGACACTATAGTTAAGTCTATTTATAGGAGGGGTCTCTATATTGTCTATAGTGCCTGACCTAAATAAACCTACAGATGCTTAATATCGTCCTCACAGACAGAAGTTGTTTTTTTCCTCTCTGAATCACGGTCCATGAACTTTTCTTTTTATGAGTCCATGTTTGATCTGTGTTAAGTGGGTCACTCTTCAGTTTATAACAGGGATGAAGCTGCTGAGGCCTTTCTAAATGAGAACACTGCAATATGTGTGTGTGTGTGTGTGTGTGTGTGTGTGTGTGTGTGTGTGTGTGTGTGTGTGTGCGCTTAGGTGGACAGCTGATTGAAGTGTCTACAAAATGAAAGAGAACTGTACAAGAGTAATTTGATGTTCAAAGGCTGCGCACACTCAAATGCACTTTAGCTGAACTCAATTAACAAACCAAAGAAACACACGTGACAAATGACCGACTTGTACTTCACATTTTCTACTATGACGTTACTAAGCTGCTCTAGAAGTCTTTTCACATTGCTGTGAAGTTTCTAAGATGTTCAGAGTAGTTTCAGTGCAATGATTAATTATTATCAGTAAACATTTTCAGTGTGTTAATTGCTTTTGCAAATGATCAATTCCAATTCCACATTTATTCATTTTTTAATTAATTCCCAATTATTATTCCAATGTAAAAGAAAAAAAGGTTTTCTTTATCAATCAGTAGATTTAGTAAAATCCCATAAATCAAATCAGCACTAGGGTAAAAACTGCAGACACATTTAAAAATGGTTTGGGTTTTTTTACTCACTTTTTGAGTCCAACCAAATAATGAAATGTTTAAAAAAAATATTTAAAAATGTATAATTTAAAGTGGGAATTTTTATTTATGTTTTTCTAAAAGCTACAAGCAAGGTAAGTAAAAAGTAGCAAGGTAAGTAAAAGTACCATTACTAAAAAAAAAAAAAGTACCATTACTACTAAAAATGCAGTGCAAGTAGAGTAAAAGTATCTGTTGTAAATATTATTCAAAGTATGAGTAAAAAGTAGACCTTTCAAAAGAACTTAAAGCAGTGGGTATTACGCTGTGAACAACTGATGTACATGTAATTTGTGGATGTGTGTAAACGTAACATTCTGTAGTGCATTTAGTTATTGCCCAGCAGACACAACGTCAAGAGACGTTAATATTAGGTTAGATTTAGGTTGTGATGTCAGGTGACCAAAAGTCAATAGGTGCGTTCGACTTTATGCAGCGCTGTGCAGATCGATCAGAATCTGTATTATAGTAGTGCATGCTGGTTAGAAATTTTGTCCGGATTGATGCTGCTCCGATGCCATGTGACTGTCACATGTGGCATCAAAGTACCACGACAGGGTTCCGAGATCAGACGACTGATTCAGACCTTGCAGCATCTGAAGAGCAACTGCCCGAGCTCTGATGATGACACCAATAATACACGATTGGCCAAGCTCACCGTATAACAACAACCACGTTTTGGGTTTATTATTGAACAAATTCTGATTCAAAAGTTTCAAAACAAACAATTCCCTTTTCATACCCTCTCTATCTTTTATATATCAAAAAACATATAAAAAATAAATAAACTAATATTTGACTGCAGTGATCATGTTTTGTTAAATAATCTGGTTATAAATGCTAGCTTGTTTGATATTTGGTTGATTTTGGGTTCTGATGTCAACCCGATTTTTATTACCATACAAAATGCAACGTCCCCATGATGTTGGGGTACAACATCAGTCTGATGCCATGTTGACGTCCTGCACCTAATGGCCATTTGGGTCATTATACAGTAATCATCTGTCATCTTCTCTTCAGTGACATCCATCTAAACAGTCTCTAAGTCTAAGATTTTGGACACCTTCTTGAACACTTTTAATGCGTCCAAACAGTTTGCTGCATTTATAAATCGCCCATGTCTTGAGGTAGTTCATTACGATGCTATTTACCTCTTTACTTCTATGTGTGATTCAATTAGACAGGAATCACAAGGCTAATTTTTCTAATTCTTTTGGTACCCTTTTGTTGTGCTAGGTATCTTTTGCAAACAGTACCTAAAAAGGGATACGGTTTGCTTTTTGGTAGCTTTTGACGGTGTAAATGGCCATAAAAGCATACCGAACCATACCATACTGTACCATCCAGTGGAAACAGGCCATTAAAGGCCTTGTGAAATTTAAATAAAGTTTTAAAGTTACCTATAACCTAGTGTGGTTCAAAACAGTGACAAAATTTCCATTTAGAAGATATAAACCTGATAGAAACATCCAAAGCAATTCTGCCTAAATGGATCAGCGACTTGTTTTTGACGTCACCTCATACTTCTCATCAAATCTTCTGACCAATCAAATGCACTCTAGCATCTGACATGCGCCGCCCCTATCAAGACACTGCTTTCATTTGATGCTCTTCAGCTCAGCCCACTCTCACTGGCAAAGCATTGATAAAAACAAAACACTATTGGCTGTTTTTTTTATAAATGGGAGGAGCCACTCAATGTCCCGCCCTGTCTTCTAATTTTAGTTGAGATTAAAAAAAATGCACATTTCAAAGCACATCACAGGAAAAATGACGTCACTGCCTACCTTGGGTCGCACAGGAAGTCAGTGCTTTCTCCATCCGCCCTCCAGACCAGCCACTCCCGAAAGGACGGGTGGCAGAACATGCGCGTTTTGTCTCGACGGCTGATCAAAAAGCAGGAAAGAGCGTCCATGCGCTGCTGGAAATCCTCCCACTCCAGTTCTCCAGTCATGAAGCCTGCGTTGAGCGCCCGGAAGAGCTGCTCGTCCGTCAGAGGATGCAAAGACGCCAGCGCCACATTCAGCAGCGGCAGCACCCGCTCAAACGCTGAGGCTGATGGGAATTTCATGTTGCACTGCAGCAGGTAGAGCTCAGACAGAGACACAGGTATCACCTTATAGCTGGAGCTTTTAATGACCAGGTGACCCTTCTCAAAGAGGTCCAGGGTTAGTTTTAAATAAAGATACGAGCCTTGGCTGCGGGCGATCAGGTGGGAGCTGAGTTTGGAGATGTTTGCTGGGTCGGCTTTGCCATTGATGGCAATGTTGCTGATGATGTCGGGGCTGTGGTCGATACGCTGTTGGATGTAAGAGGTGAGGTCAGAGGTTATGTCCTTGTTGTCATGGAAATCATCCAGAGAGATGACAGGGAAGGGAAGGAGATTGGTGACTTCCTGTGAAATACACACACACACACACACACACACACACACACAAAAAGTTATTAAAATATATGTTTGGCTTTCATGCAGGGTTTTAAAATTTTGGAAGAAATGTCATGTAATTGATGTAATTGCCTTACATCTTAAACGCACATTAGCAAACATAATGAATGAAGGAATAAACCAAGTAATTATTAAAAGTTAATAATTAATTAAAATAAATTAAATTTATTACTAAAATAATTAAAATAAATGAATAATCATATATATATATATATATATATATATATATATATATATATATATATATATATATATATATATATATATATATATATATATATATATATAACGTCGATACGGTACATAACCAGATATCTAGCACTGGATCTGGTAAAACACGAACGTGCCTTTCCTTTCAGACACTAGTGGAGCACGAGGGATCATGGGACTGATCATGACATGAAGAATATGATCCCTGACAGATGGAAATTTGGCTGAAAGGAATAGAGAATTTAGGTTTATTTTCACAACAATACCACATTATAGCCAACTGGTGCTGTTTATTCCAGTCATTTGTTTTTTAGATTTTTGAAACAATAACCCACCCTGCAACTTGGGATTCAACAGCTGTTTGCTATTAAAGGAGGGAGCAATGGAGACCAGTATTATTTATGGAACTTTGTCAGACTTTGACAGGGACTTTGTCAGTAACTGTTACAGCTCATATGAACCAGCTTCTTTTTCCTCCGGATCACAACATGTAAGTGTGATTAAAATGGTTGCCTCGTTTCGTATAGTTTGCAAAATGTGTACTGTTTTTAATTGTAAGTTGTAACTTGTAATTGCTCTGCACAGCTTGTAATCACTCATCTTTTATAGATCAGGGCTCTCTCAGGTTAAATCGATATGGGGCTATTCACATATTGCGTCCATATTATCTCTCTGTTTCTCGCGCTGAACACAGTCGACCAATCACAACAGACTGGGTCATCGGACGAATCACCACAGATTAGCCTCACACTAAGGAGAGGGTTTGGGAGTAAATGAATCGCTGAATAAATCAAATGGAAGTCGTTGGGATATATACAGTAGGTAAAAGCAAATGCATATTATAAGACAATGAAATAGTTTTCTGACCTTGCATGCATATTTGCCTGTTGTTGGAAACCTTCAAATCCAAAATATGACCTTTTATAATGTAAAATAGGGGCTCTTTAACTCACTAATAAACAAATAAATAAAAATGTATATTATTCAAGATTTTAAATGTGATTTTAATTGTTCAGACACTTTGTTAGCAAGTTGTTTCCCTACTTTTCATTTTATTAATAATGTGCTTTTCTAAGACCCAAAGCGCTACAATAACAGAGAAATCAAACATGCAATAAAATACAAGTATACATAAAAAACAACTTCTAAAATATAAACAGAATAATCAAGCATTTCTTATAGAATAAGGAACAGCATTCCATAACCTAGGTGCAGCAACAGAAAAGGCTCTCTACCCCATTGATTTTAGTCTACAGGGTGGCTGTTGAAGGGTGAGAGTATCCGCAGGCCACAGGGAACGAGAAGGTGTGTACTGAGAGACAATGTAACAGATATAGGCAGAAGCGGTGCCATGTAGAGGTTTATATGCAAGTGTGAGCATTTTAAAAATGATACGGGACCGAACTGGGAGCCAATGCAAGCAAGCTTTAAAGCACATCAGTAATGTGCTGCCGTGGTGGAGCGCCTGTGAGAATGCATGCTGCTGAGTTTTGAATGTACTGCAGCCGTTTGATTAGTTTAGCAGGTAAACCAACAAAGAGTGCATTACAGTAGTCAATCCTGGAAGTGACAAATGCATGAATGAGTCTTTTTAAGCATCTGGTTGAGTGAGGTAAGACCTAATTTTTGCAGTATTCCTCAGATGATGAAAAGCATATTTTGTAATGCTCTTGATGTGTAAGTCTAGTGATAGATGAGTGTCAAAAAAAAAAATCACACCAAGGTTACGTGCTTTGGTAGATGGACAGTATTATCCAAATACAATTTAAACTCGCTATCTTTGAGAGTGGCTGCTGGTGTGCCAATAAGGAGTACCTCTGTTATAGAACAATTCAATTTTAGAAAATTGTGGTGCATCCACATTTTAATTTCCTGTACACACTCTAAGTGGATTGAGGCAGTAACAGACAGATTGGATTTTGAGCTGATATAAATTTGGGTATCATCAGCATAAAAGTGGTATGCCAGTCCATATTTGCTGATGATATGCCCCAGTGGAAGCATATAAATGCTAAAAAGTATGGGACCTAAGACCGACCCCTGAGAGACACCACGGCAGACCCATCTGAAATCAGATTGATTATTTCCCATGACCACTAATAGCATACGATCCAAAAAATAAGATTTAAACCAGTTGAGCACAATGCCAGTAATACCAAGCCATTTCCCCAGCTTATTTAACACTATAGAGTGACATCCCGTATCAATGCCTTCTTGAGCATTTTAAAAAAAATGTTGGACCAGAAACATCTAAAATCAGCTGTTTATGATTTAATAAGTACACTAAATGTAGACCCCATTGTTTCTCTCAGAGAATTTTGGCAAAATGATAGTCCACTCCTCCTATAATCTTTAGATTAGTTTCACATGCTCCAACTCCTTTGCTTGAGAGTACTTTTATAACATTAAAAACAGGGTACATTACTACTGGTTTGTTAAAAGGACAGTTCACCTAAAAATTTCAAATTTACTCACATACTTAATATTTACTCAAATTTAAAGGTCCAGTGAAATTAAAATCATGTTTTTTTAGATGTTAGTATAAGTATGTTTGACTTCAAGGATATCTATAAGCCAGTGTGGTACAAAACAATGACGAAATTCGCATATAGAAGACATAACATTGATAGAAACATGTAGAGCTTGCAGTTTGTCACTTCCGCCTAAATGGATCAACTTTTTTATATGCTTTAGCTTCTCATTAAATCTTGACCAATCAAATGCTCCCTAGTGTCTGACATGCCCCGCCCCCTTCAAGAGGCTTCTCATTTGCTTCTCATTTGATGCACTTGAGCTCAACCACTCTCACTGGCAGAGCAGTGAGAAAAACAAAAAGCTGTTGGCTGCTTTTTTAAAAGGGGAGGAGATACTCTATGTACTGCTCTCTTTTCGTTATTCAGTTCAGATTACATTAATCAACTAATAAAAAAAGCACATTTCAAAAGCACTTTACTGGACTTTTAAGACATTTTTTAAAAGCTAGAAACCTGTAACCATTGACTCCCATAGTAGGAAAAAAGAAATACTATGAAAGTTAATGGTAACACATTTCCAGCTTCCTTTAAAATATTTTAATTTGTGTTCAACAGAAGAAAAAAAATCTTTTTTAAAAAAAATAATACATTTAAAGATGGTGAACATGCAATCCAATGTAAGGCTGCTCCACAGATTTCACTTGATTAATGCCAAATTAGTAAAAACCTTTCCAAAAACCTTTTCAAGTGATGCCCGTCATTGCTCCATACCGTCTCCTCCTGACCATATCCATATGTTCTGGAGTTGCCCCCACAGCTGACAAATTTCTGGTCCAGTGTTTGTGATACACTTAAAAAGCTTTTATCATAAATCTAATCCCTAACCCCTTTGACAGACCTTTTTGGCATTTCAGAGAAAGTGGACTTGAAATCTCTAGCTGCATAAACTTGAGAAGTTAAGATGTTTACTTGCAGGATCTCTCAAGTCTTTTTACAAGACCTGAATTCCTGTTTTAGAGTATATCAAAGGCTTACACTGTTCTGTTGATATCAGTTTTAATACACCGTAAACTACTGGAAAGAGGGAATATTGACTCCTTAGAGGGAACTTTTCATCTATTTAAACAGTTTATTTTTACTTGTTTACTCATTTTTTGTAACTGAGCTTAATTTATTTGATTTATTTTCTCTTTTTTTCAGAGGAGTTGTTTCTGTTATGTTTTGAAGGGATAGCAGTAAAATAGGAAAACGAAGACAGGCTGTGGATTGAACATAAAACAACTAAGTTGCCCTTAAAACCATTCGTTTTAAATAAGTTGTTTGAACAAACAGCAAAACAATTTTTTTTGTGTATATAATACAAATGAATGGTCTTGTTAAATACCAGTAAAACGATATTAAATGTCTTGAAATATTACAAATATTGTTATTATTTTGGGAAATTGCTCCACATGACATTTAACAACATATCTAACATTTATTAAATACAATTATATAATAAAGATATTTAATATAAAATACAGAATAATTAAATACACATTTTTTTCTAAATTTCAATTGTTTTAGGAAGTTGCTCTGTATAAAATGTCACAAATGAACTCGCTAACCAAATAAAAATACAAAACACATATAAAATAAGGAAAAAAGTAAATGTCTCAAAATATTACAAATATTGTTAATATGTTGCCGAGTTGCTCCACATGGCATTTCACAATTTAACTAAAAAATAAATGAAATTCATATTTTTCCAAGAAAAAAAAAATTATACATTTAATAAATTATTGTAAAACAAGTTATCATGTTTGTTGAGTTGCTATACATGCTATTTCACTAAATAAATAAATAAATAAATAAATAAATAAATAAATGCACATTTTTTTAAAGAAAAAATTCAAAATGTCACAAAATATTACAAATATTGTTACTATACTGTGGAGTTGCTTCACATGGCATTTCACAACTATGACAATTAAATAAAACACATTTTCTAATGAAGAAATCTAAATGCCACCAAATATTTCAAATATTATTATTTTCAAATATTACTATTTTTGGGAAGTTGCTTCACATAATACACTACCCAACTTGTCAGTCTTGTTGCCTATCAAAGTTTTAGGAACAACAAATAATAACTTGACTTTTAGTTGATCATTTAGTATCAGAAGTGGCTTATATGAAAGGCCTCTAGATTACCCTTTTTTAGCTAAATAAAATATGATTATGCCTTAATTTTTAATTATTTATTTTTTTATTAATTAATTATTTAATTTAAGGTCTGACTTTGCTTAGACAAAAGTCTTGTCACTTAACAGAAATAATGTACAGTATAGAATATAAAGTCATGGAGCAGTGGAAAAATAATGAATATTGAGTCTGACTTTAATGAGCTTGGAGGACTGCATCCATACATCTCTGCAGTGACTCAAAAAGCTAATTAATAAGTCATCTGGAATGGCAAAGAAAGCGTTCTTGCAGGACTCCCAGAGTTCATCAAGATTCTTTAGATTCATGTTCAATGCCTCCACCTCCATCTTACCCCAGACATGCTCAATAATGTTCATGTCTGGTGACTAGGCTGGCCAATCCAAAAGAACCTTGACCTTCTTTGTTTTCAGGAACTTTGATGTGGAGGCTGAAGTATAAAAAGGAGCGCTATCCTGCTGAAGAATTTGCCCTCTCCTGTGGTTTATAATGTAACAAGCAACACAGATGTCTTGATACCTCAGGCTGTTATCCACTTTGCAGATCTCTCGCACGCCCCCATGTTGAATGTAACCCCAAACCATGATTTTTCTTTTACCAAACTTGATTTCTGTGAGAATTTTGGGCCTATGCAGGTTCCAATAGGTCTTCTGTGGTATTTATGATGATTGAGATACAGTTCAACAGATGATTCATCAGAAAAATCTACCTTATGACACTTTTCTAAATGTTCAACTAGAAGTCAAGTTATTGTTTGTTACTCTTACAACCGGAATGGACGACAAGACTTTTGTCAGGTAGTGCACTTCACAATGAAACAACATTTAATTAACTATAATCTGTAATCAACTTCAGAATAAAACATTTCCGATATATTAAGAAACTTGACACAAAAGCTTAGGGAGTCAAGACGGGTCCTCTCTGTGACAATTTCCTTTGTTTATTTTCTTCCTACATGTTACTTGGAGCACATGACTGCAAATCCAAGAGGACAAAACTTCACAAAATGGGTATTTTCAACCAAATTACTGCATAACTGAGATACAGTTTGCATTAAAAAGCGACAGAGCTTTCCGCCTGCTTAATGGAAAGACATCCAATTAAAAAAGAAAAAAGGCTGGGATTTTAAAGGATGAACCTTCACTTAAAGCCGCTGTTCTGCACTACAGCACAAGAGTAACGACCACCAGCCTTCCCCAAGAAACCCCTATTTCTTGAATAATTACAATTTCATTCAGATTACGGTTTTGTACTGTGACTTCTGACAACAGGGAGCTCTTGATGACTACAAGAGGGGAAATTAATGAATACTACAAGGACCGAAAGAAAGAAGTCTGTTCGTTTTCATCTTACTGCGCATCATCTGTATGCAAAACATGACAAATGTTTTCACGTTTAAAACAACTTCAGAATTAATGTTGTCGAATAAACACCGGCAGCCTGCTTGTGTGGGTTGTCTGGCACTTTTGGGTCACTGCTCTGAGAAGTAGTGAGCGAGAGAGAAAGAGACGGCGTACGTGTGTGGAAAGAGTATAGGGACACGCGTAGCATCTGCGATGTTGCATCACAGCTCTTATCCCCTCTTACATAAGCTCGGTTCATACAGGCCAGAGTCCAGCTCTGATCAGACATGGATTACACACACAAAACATACTAGCCACTGACCAGCATCCAAAAATTACCATATTACTTAAGGCACATCAGGACACTCAACAAGATAGCTTTTTATAAAACCAACCAAATGGTCTGGGTTTATACTATTATAATTTTAGGACAAGTGAAGGCTTATGTACTCATTGCAAGTTATTCACTTTTGGCTTGAAGCACGGGTATCCAAACTCGTGTTTTGTATGGCGGGCGTCCCAGAGAGTTTAGTTCCACTACTACTTGAGTATGTATTACATTTGAATTTACTACACGACCATTAGATAAGCACTTTCTATATAGTATGAATGCAAGTAGTATGAATGGAACCAACGTCAGTTGCGTGGCAAGTAAAGGCTTATATAGGCTACTCATGGCACGTTCTTCTTCTTCATTTTTCGCTTGAGGCAGAGGTGTCCCGACTCGGACCTGCAGACGGCCGGTGTCCTGAAGAGTTTAGTTCCAACCCTAACTAAACACACCTGAATCAGATAATGTAGCTAGGCATAGCTTTCTAGCTGCGTCCAAAATCGCCCACTACTCGAGTAGTTAATACATTTGAATTTACTACATGGCCATTAGAAAAGTATGTTAATATACTATATAATATAAATGCAAGTAGTATAAATTAAACTCCGATGTACTATATCCGCCATCTGTTATTATCACGGGACCTAACCGCGTCTATTGCGTTACTTCACTCCCACTCATGAGCTGTCTCATGGGGAATCATAGGATAGCCTAGTGTCCATTAGATGCGCACTTCAGAATCTCGCCAGAAGTAGTAGGTCATATGGGTGCTTCTTGCATACTGTTTTTCGAATACTATGAATTCAATGTTTTTAACATATTATAACATATTCAACATATTATAATAACAATAAACAATAATTCCTTACATTTATATAGAGCTTTGATGGACACTCAATGCGCTTTACACATTTTTTTTTGGGGGGGGAACTTTTACATCCTGGGATTTTTAACGACTACAGAGAGTCAGGGCCTCAGTTCAAAGTCTCATCTGGAAGACGACACTCACTGAGCAGTGTAGAACCCCCATCAATATCCTCTTCACTATACAGAGGCGTAAGGACCCACAAAGACCACAAGTTGAGCATCCCTTGCTGGTTTCACTAACACCACTTCCTAGCTTTCCCATGTGGTCTCCCTTCCAGTTACCTAAAGGGCGCAGCTCTGCTTAGCTTCAGTAGGCGACCATGTGAGAGTTGCAGAGAGCTAGCAGTTTCATACTATATAGCAGGGATGCTCAACCCTGGTCCTGGAGATCTACCTTCCTGCAGATTTCAGTTGCCACCCTTATCAAACACACCTGCCTCCAATTATCCAGTGCTGTTCAGGATCTGATTAATTGGTTCAGGTGTGTTTGATTAGGGTTGAGCTGAACTAAAGGTAGATCTCCAGGAACAGGTTTGAGCCCCCCTGCTATATAGCATCAAAGTATGCGTTTTCGGACACAGACTCATACTAAGGGGGAGATGAAAATGGCTGTATTACCTACCATTGGAAAACCCATTAAGCTAACTTGTCATGTGAAGCATGACAAGCCAATCATGAAGCCAATCAGATAGCTGCTTTTAGTTTCCTTCTCTGCATAATGACACAGAAGCAACGTTAGCTTTAGCTGTTATGCCAGGCTAATTATTCAGGCTGGTTTTCAATAGGCTTTGGTATGCTAGAAAGATTCTCGTAGGTGTGAAATGAAGCAAGTGTAAGCTAAAGTATGGAGGAGACCGGATCTCCAGGACTGAGTTTGAGCACGATTGTTGCTAGAAAGGGATACAGTTACGACCAGAAGTTCATTCATTCGTTCATTTTCCTTCACCCTTTATTCAGGGGCCGCCACAACGCAATGAACCGCCAACTTATCCAGCATGTTTCACACAGCGGATGCCCTTCCAGCTGCAACCCAGTACTGGGTGTCATCCATACACACATATTCACACACATACACTACGGCCAATTTAGTTTATTCAATTCACCTATACCTCGTGTCTTCGGACAGTGGGGGAAATCGAAGCACCCTGAGTAAACCCACACAAACACATTACCAATCACATTACCAATTAGCTGTATTCTATTGTACAGTAATGTAAAACAGTAATTATACAGAGTATTATTCATATTATTTATTAAATTACCTTTGAAATTCTGTTTAACACCTACCCCACCTCAACCCTAAACTTACCCCTGAAAGGAGTGTAATAATAGTTCATGTTTTAAAATCCCTTGAGGTATATATTAGTGACTTATTTAGGGTATAGTTTAAGGGTGCAAAAACTAATAATAATAAGAATAATAGTTATCTAAATAAACATTACCACCAGGTTGGCCCGGACAGTCACAATCAGCTTGAGCCAAACAGGAAATTTGGAGATGATTTTGGTGACGAAGGAGGCGATGGTGTCTCCATAATCTGGTTTGTGGAACTCTGCCTCATTTAGTCCATCCACAAGGATGATGTAATCCTCCTCAGGAATCTTCCGCTCTGCACAACAAAACACAAACAACATGTTAAAGACGTACTTTAAGTCAAATGTGGTCCAGACTCTCTTTAGAGTTTGTGTCCTGGCATAACGTGGGTGTTTCGGTTTTTGTTTAGAAAAAAATAAATAAATAACAGGAACAATGTTTAATCCCAAATGTGTACTATAGGTGCTTTTAAAAAACTCAGCACAATAAAACCCCGCAAGCTTCTTTCTTCCACCATATGTTGAGTAGGAAAAAGTCCCAGCAGTGTGTAGAGAAACTCACAGTTTTTACCACTTGACAAATAAATATCTTATTTTTTCACATAAAAATGAAAAATGTGTCATATTTAAGCCCCAAAACAAGTTTACTTTTATTGTGAAAAGCAGATTAAGCCTTCTGCCTAACACCTGCTACACTTACTGCTACAAAAGAAAGTAAGTGGTGTTGGAACAGCATGCGGCTGATAATAATGGCATTATAATACTTTTAAGGTAAAGTATTCCTTTGATGTCACAATCTGTAGTTAAATTTAGGGTTTTGAAAAGAAACTGTACATTTTAAAAAGCAAAAGTAGGGCTTTATCCACAACCATTTGATTGTATCACAGAATAAGTGCATCTAATACCAAAACAGAAAAATACTGAATGAAATTTGGCTGTGAATCAAGGAAACTGAAACACGGCCAACACTTATTTTTCAAAGATTCTTTTGACTGGAAAATGGAGAGAGAAAGTCAAGGATACCCTTAAAAGCATCTCCACATATTCTGAAGTAACATTTGCCATTCAAGCCCGCCGTATTTATTATTATTACTGCAATAAGAAAGTACTTACAGTATACAACACTGAGATCATTATTTAGAATTAAATAGCGTTTGATTATACTGTAGATGACGTTCTATTTCTAAAATTGTTTGATGCCTAAAATACTATTTAAACAAATATATACATTTAATAAATCAGTTTTTTTTCAAATGCACCAAAATATATTACCTATATCGCTTTGACTGCCCCTCTACCAAATAGTTGATTTATTTAAAGAATGACTGCTTTAAATAATGGCTTACAAACAGCATTGTTTGTTTACAAAAAAAAATAAATAAATAAAAAGTCAAACAAACTTAATCCTGTAGCACTACAACACTTAAATTTAGTTTTATTTTAAAAAATAAATAAATAAATAAATAAAAGAAGAATATATGTTAAATGGGAATCTGAAATATTTTATGGCATGCTTTTTTAAATAAAATGGTCTTTATATTTTCAGATTTTTTTTATAGTATATGAAATTATGGGATGTAATGAAAAAATGCATTGAGTGTGTTAACTAGCGGCATTAAAAATTAAGAAATGCAATCCATTTTTTTTTTGGCGGGGTAGTTGAACATTCACAAAAATAGATAAAAATCTTCATTTTCAAAATGAGGTGTACTCGTTTACATTAAACACTGTACATAGTTAACCTGCAGTATACATAATGCCCTTTTCAAAAACGCAACATCTATGTTTAATGCATTTTTTTATTTGTGTATTGCTTTTCTTCAAAAAAAAAAAAAAAGATTAAAAAACAACGTTTCACAAAAGAGCTGGCTCCTTGAGTATGGGATTTGTTCAAAATAAGAATGGTTTAATAAACCACAACGTATTTGTTTTAATAAAAAATAAAGAAGAATACATTTATTATGATCTGTGATAAATCATAGAATTAGAAAAAAATATCATTTGCCCTTGTGAAATGTAGGGCTGTGCAAGTAATCGAAATTGAATGGCAATCACGATTTGAAACGTTGCGATTAAATGATATATATTTATATTGATTAGCTAATGTATATTATTATATTGATATACATCATTAATTACGCCGTCTGTGTGTGACAGAACAGTGCAACAGAACTATGCGGAAAACCCACAATCAAAAAACAAACAGGAAAGCGCAGACAAGTGTGATGATGGCGTCTGCTGCTTTGAAAGCATTAAAAGATAAATTATATCAAAGAAAAACGGCATGTTGGTCATTTGGGAATATTTCGTTTCAAAGTCACAGACACCAAACAAAAGCAGGTCATTTGTAGGAGCTGTCGCTGAATTGTAGTCACAACACGTGGAAATACAACAACCAGCTCCCAAAAAGCACAACAGGTGGCTAAATAAGGTGTGATTGAACTAAAAAACTGAATTGCAAATCGAATCGTAATCACAATATCAAAAAAAAAAAAAAAACGTAATTAAATATTTTCACTGAATTGCACAGCCCTATATACAGATGTCATCGAGTTATGTTGACATAAACATATGTAAATTCTGTTTTCCCTCTCATTATTTTATCTTTAATCTGATGTTACAAACCAAAAACACTTATTTTCTGTTGTTGTTTTTTTTGTATCAAGAGTTCAGAGCGTCAGCTCCATCTTCATTTCCATACTCGAAATTTGCCCAAGCCTCATTCTCCAAAATTCCTGTTAAGTCCTTCATCTGTCGTTCCTTGTGATCCAAGCCGTTTCTGAGGACCATCTGTTCACATCCATACAGGGCCAGATTATATGAGGCAAGAGCGCTCTTCTCCCCCCCATTACCCCTGAGCAAACATATTTAGTTTTTATTTGATGATGTGATTAATGACAGCAGCATGCGATGCGTCTCACCTTTGCGCAGAAGTGTGAGAGGCTCCAGAACTCCCTTTCGGAAAGCGGCTGCAGGGTCCTGGACGCAGGAGCGTAAGCTGAGCAGACTCTGCAAGTGTGTTTCTCTGAGTAACAGCTCTCGATATGCATTGAGAAGAGGAGCTCTGCACAGTAATGCAGACACACTGTGCACAAACTCAGGGACCAGGCATGTGTATGTGTTATCAGCCTGACAGTAGTGATACGCCACCACCTACAACAGAGAGGAGAAGATTAAGAGTTTTAGAGAGTTGTTTATAGTGGCTGATTAGTTTGATTTCTATCATTATTTACGAACCAAATGCATTTGAAAGTGAATAAATATCCTGACAGTTCTTGGCTGCATTTCCCAAAAACATTGGAAGCCTACTGTAGATATATTGTGGATACAACTAGCACCATTGGTAGGGAAGAGTGACACCACGTTATTTTATAAATAAATTTAAAAAATGTAAAAAAAATAAATAAATAAAAAATAATAATAAATAAATAAATAAATAAATATATTATATATATATATATATATATATATATATATATATATATATATATATATATATTTATTTATTTACACATACACACACACACACACACAATATACAGTACCAAAACTTTCTGTAACAATTTTAATGTTACAGATACCAATACTTCTTATTACTATTACATCCGAAAAGTATTCATAGTGCTTTACTTTTTCTACATTTTTGTTATGTTACAGCCTTATTCCAAAATGGATTAAATTCATGTATTTCCTCCAAATTCTACACACAATACCCGATAATGACAATGTGAAAAAAGATTTTTTGAAATTGTTGCAAATATATCAAAAATAAAAAAAACCTGAAAAATCACATGTACATAAGTATTCATAACCGTATTAATTTAAGCTCAGTGTAAAAAAAAAAACCAAGAAGTTTTACAGAGGAATGTATTTTTCCAGGAAGCAATTACATATTGCCATTAAAATTTGTTTTTGTTTGTTTTTTTACTGTTTCCTTTATTTAAAAAGCCAGTTTTTCTTCAGAAAACATACACAAATTACAGTTGAAGTCAGACTTATTAGCTCCCTTTTTATTTTTTTAAAAATTTTTTTTATAAATATTTCCCAAATGATGTTTAACAGAGCAGGGACATTTCCACAGTATGTCTGATAATATTTTTTCTTCTGGAGAAAGTCTTATTTGTTTTATTTCGGCTAGAATAAAAGCAGTTTTGGATTTAAAAAAAAAATTATTTTAAGGTCAAAATTATTAGCCCGATAATAGATTAATAAATTTGATAGTCTACAGAACAATGTGTAATTGCCCTAACCTGCCTAGTTAACCTAATTAACATAGTTAGTTAAATATTATTTACTGTCATCATGGCAAAGATAAAATACATCAGTTATTAGAAATGAGTTATTAAAACTATTATGTTCGTAAAAGTGTTGAAAAAATTGTCTCTCTGTTAAACAGAAATTGGGGAAAAAATAAACGGTGGCTGATAATTCAGAGGGGTTTAAAATTCTGATTTCAACTATAAATATAATCAGATATAAAATATAAATAAACATTTTCTCAAATATAAGAAAGTTTGTGTATATTAAAAAATATACATAGAAATATACATAACAAACATAAAAAATATACATAGTACACACACATATATTACGTAAAACACGTTTAATTTTGGATGTAATTAATCCCATTAACCCCATCACTTTAAAAAACATGAATGAACGTTGTAAAATATGTTAAAACAAACAATACAACTAATTGAAATTAATTTCTTCTCATGCAATCTGCGAAATTCAACAGCGGAATGATGTCAGTGACAAACACATAACACTCAATATATACCTCTGAATATAGACTTAGTATCAAAAACTCATTAGTTAACAACAAAATCTAAAGAGAAAAATATTTATACTACATTTTAATTGTTACTGATGTCTCATTTATTAAACAGTCCTTGCCATGTTTGGAAAAAAGGCAAGTTTTTATGACAGCCACTGTTTAAATGTGGGCTTGTTGCTATTCATCCCTTATTCCAAAAGGAGAATATGCTCACTATTTAAATGTGTACTTTTAAAGAATTATATACAGCAGATGTGTTGATAAGTTATGTTTGCAGAAAGCACAGGTGGTACAGAATGTGTCTTTTTTTTAAAGCTTCATTGTGTGTTCTTCCTCTGGGCAGGAAAGTTTTGGTTTTGAAAGTTACAGCACTGCAGGTTTTCAAAACTCGCAGAGCTCTTTTATCTCAAAGATCAAGGAAAATATGATTCCTCATGATATAACCCCTTTATGGTTTGTTTGAATATCATGAGTCCCAAATCGTTCTAAAACACTGAAGAAACCAGGCTTTTGAACAGAAGTGAGAATGAAATTGTGGCCTGAAACGACTTTCTACTGACAGATGGCTGATTAAAAAGATGTGACTTGAAGATTTAACAGAGAAGGTTCGGGTCCAGATGTAAATGGAAAACACACGCACACACACTGGCAAGTGTTGAATATGCATGTGGCAAATGTGGAGTTTGTCTCTGTCATGGAATGACACATCTAAAACATCACATAAAACTTCCTGTGTATTTATAAATACAGAAAAGCTGCTCAGTGGAATCTCTTTATTTGGCTGCAAACAATTTTAAAGGGCGTCTAGTTTTAAAATGACTTGATCTAAAAAAATTGTTTGGCAGTGGGCGCTATTAAAGTTGAGGTGTTCTGAATGCGTGGCACAAAATCCATTGATAAAACAAGAATTGCATGTGCAATAATTGAAGAAGGTAATTGATTAAGGTCCAGATATCAGATAAGTCCATCATCTACAGCAAACTAAAGGTATAGATCACCCAAAAATGAAAGATCTGCCATCATTTACTCAACCATGACTGGTGCAAATTCGGTTAGAGCTTTTTGTTCTGTTGAACACAAAGATATACAAAAAAATGACTTTCATGGCATCAGTGATGGACATAACTGCACTATAAAAATGGGTTTACTCGTTTGTCAGTAACGAGTAATCAATCCAATGACGTTTCCCCTGTTACAACGTTGTTACTGTTACAGACAATAAAATGCACGTTACTATAATTGAGGACACCAAAGTGGTTTTCATGCGAGCAGTGTCTCTCTCAGCCAGCCAATAGAACCAAACAGGAAAAACACTACTTTTCCCTCGTTGAAATGAAAGGCAAGAATGTTTGTTTAATGCAACTTATGCCCAGGAAAAAAAGAGTCTATTTGTGTTGGTGATAAGTCATTCTAATCTAATGAAGCACTTGACATCATCATGAAATTAGTGGCTAAGAATACAGGTGATGATATGAGCTCTGCTACCAAAAGAGGATGCGAAGCCACAACATCAACGCAACAAAAACTTTATGTTTTTCCACTGCAAACACAGAATTAACAAAATAATATCAAAACCAGTAATACAGTTTCTATATGTTCTAAACCATCTATTGTGTTTTATTGTACAACTATAGTAATAATAATGTAAGGATATGTTGAATTTGATGGTTTACTCTCACATTGTCCCAGAACAACATTAAAATAGTGTGTACTACTGTACAAAGCTTTATATTTATTTTAGAGTCATTTGACAGTAGATTGTTTTAAAGTAACGCAATAGTTACTTTTCATGGTAATTAGTTACTTTTATAATAATGTAACTCAGTTACTGACCCAGTTACTATTTTTGAGAAGTAACTAGTAACTATATATATATATATATATTACACCATTTCAGGTGACTACCTCTAGAAGCTCATCAAAAGAATGCCAAGAGTGTGAAAAGCAGTAATCAAAGCAAAAGGTGAACATCATAGGACATATTTTATGTATATAATTCCACATGTGTTAATTCATAGTTTTGATGCCTTAAGTGTCAATCTACATTTTTCATAGTCATGAAAAAAACAATCTCTTGAATGTGAAGGTGTGTCCAAACTTTTGGTCTGTACTGTGTATATATATATATATATATATATATATATATATATATATATATATATATATATATATATATATATATGGTTTGTAACTACTTAAGGGTGAGTAAATAGTGGGTAATTTTTTTTTTTTTGGGTGAAATGTCCCTTTAAGGCACCTATATATCTATTATAAAAGTATAAAAAAATAACTTCAATTTTGTGAAACATTAAATGCAGTTGTCATTCCTGAAACATTACGGTTGTTGTTACAAGGCTAAACATGGATTTACACAACCTGCTAAGGGAAAACTACCTGAACAGAGCTAAAGTGCGTACCTTGCCAGCCAGGCGTTTGACGGCGCCCTCTCTGTGCCGGTGTGTCTCTGGGGTCGAGGGGCAGCGAATGGGACTCTGTGATGCAGGGTTCAGCTGACTGCTTTGAGCAGCATCTGACCCTCGATCTACAACACAAACACAATTCCCAAATTATTTCAGAAATTCAAGTTATTACAGCACATAAATATAAATAACAGTCACTATAAGTGCTGAATGTACACTATATATATATATATCTTTGTTTGTTTGTTTGTTTTAATTAGTTCTATGTGTTTAACTTAAGTCATGACATATACAAGTGATCCAGGAATTCATTTTTATTTCTACTTTCTATACAGCTTATAGTGACATTTAAAGGCTTAACTAGGTTAATTAGGTTACCTCGGCAGGTTAGGATATTTAAGCAAGTTATTGTATAACGATGGTTTGTTCTGTAGAATATCAAAAAATATATATACCTTAAAACGGGGTTATAAATTTTGACCTAAAAACTGCTTTTATTCTAGCTGAATTAAAACAAATAAAGAAGACAAACTATTATCAGACATACTGTAAAAATTTCCTTGCTCTGTTAAACATCATTTGGGAAATATTTAAAAAGAAAAAAAAAAAGGGGGGGGGGGGGGGTGGGGGGCTAATAATTTTTATTTCAACTGCATATACGGGTCAGAGACTTTCATGTTTCGTCTTTTTTATACTCCTAAAATGCATAAATCTGATTAAAATGTCAAACTCTTCCACAGTTGTCCTCTTACTCTGAGGTGTAGCTTCAGGACTGCTGGAGGCGATCTGTCTCATTCGTCCACCATGACAACTGAGAGCCACCAGCCGTGAAATCACTGCTGTCTTTCCAAAACCGACGTTACCGATGATCACAGCGCCTTTACCCTCATCGGCATCTCCTCCACCCGCAAGCACCTCCTCCAGCCGCTGAAACAGCCAATCACGGCCCACAAACACAGCATCCATAGAGACACTGGGGACCTCAAACAGCAGGGGTTTAAGCATGATGTCCACTGGTTTGTAGGGTGTGAGACGAGCTGCGGGAATCGAACAACATGAGTGTTAAAACAAACCACACACACACACATACACACACTCTCAAAGCCAAATCAATGCGGGATGCATTTATGCAGAAATAAAAATGAACCTTTGAATTGCTCACAGTAAACATGAAAATAAACACAAAAATGCTTTTATTTTGCTGCATTGTCAAAAGAGAAATATCTGATGTTTCATGGAATATTACATCAAAATAAAATGATCTTTAACTCAAACACATAAGCTAACTAACAATTGTAAAAACGAAGAAACTGAAATTTCAAATTTAAATATAATTGCATTCAATTTGTGGTTTATTTATCATTTTTATTATTATTTACAGTTTAAGTCAGAATTATTAGCCCCCCTGTTCATTTTTCCCCCAATTTCTGTTACTAAGAGCAGATTTAAACAAAACAAAATTTCTAAACAAAATTGTTTTATTTACTCATTTCTAATAACTGATTTATTTTATCTTTGTCATGATGACAGTAAATAATATTTTACTATTTTTAAGACACTTTTATACAACTTAAAGTGACATTTAAAGGCTTAACTAGGTTCATTAGGTTAACTAGGCAGGTTAGGGTAATTATGCAAGTTATTGTATAACAATTGTTTGTTCTGTAGACTTTCGAAAAAATTATATTGCTCAAAGGGGCTAATAATTTTGACCTTAAAATGTTTTTTAAAAAATTAAAAAAACGATTTTATTATAGCCAAAATAAACTGATTAAAGAGGAAGTAATATAATCAGACATACTGTGAAAAGTTCCTTGCTCTTTTAAACATCATTTGGGAAATGTATAAAAACTTATTTAAAAAGGCAGCTAATAATTCTGATTTCAACTGTATATACGAGTCAGAGACATTTAGGAATCTGCATAAACTTTACAGAAGTGATTTGTTATACATCGAAAAAAATGGAAGTAATATGTCCACTTTCATGCTTTTAAAAACCTTTGTGAAAAAAGGTCAAAAAATAAAAATATATATATATATGACACCAATTTGCTTTTAACAAGTTGTTGCCTTAATTGCGAGATATGACTAAAATATTTTAAAATACGAAAAATATGTATGTATTAGTTTAATATATATAAACATACATATTTATGCAAATATATATTCTCCAAGCACCACTTTTATATATTGTGACCACTATTACAGTATACAGTGCTCAGCATAAGCAGATCCCTCACAAATCTTTCATTTAAATTAATATTTTCTAAATGAAGCTTTACAATATTATATTTGTGCATAAACATTAAATTAGTCAGTGCTGAAGCCAAATCTGGAGCTTATCTAACAAAATAAATTGATAATGATAATGGTCCAAAAACGTGAACACCCGAATTTAAATATAGGAGAAAAAAAAGCAAAAATCAAGACAAAAATAAAAAATATTTAAATTTTGTTGAAATTACTTTGCAATTTTTTCCTCAATATTTGCATAAATTTAATTACATTATCTTTCTAGTTCTAAAGACGTACTGAAATTAAAATATTATTTTGATAAATATATCTGTTTAATAAATCTGTTTAATAAATCTGTAAATTGCCTGTAATGTAATGTAATGTAATGTGTATTTATATAGCGCATTTATTGTGTATGGCCATACACCCAAAGCGCTTCACAATCATGAGGGGGGGTCTCTCCACACCACCACCAGTGTGCAGCATCCACTTGGATGATGCGACGGCAGCCACAGGACAACGGCGCCAGTGCGCTCACCACACACCAGCTATTGGTGGAGTGGAGAGACAGTGATAGAGCCAATTCAGTGGAAGGGGATGATTGGGAGGCCATGATCGAATGGGCCGATAGAGGGACTTTGGCCAGGACACCGAGGTTACACCCCTGCTCTTTACGAGAAGTGCCATGGGATTTTTAATGACCACAGAGAGTCAGGACCTCGGTTTAACGTCTCATCCGAAAGACGGCGCCCACTGACAGTGTAGTGTCCCCTTCACTTTTACTGGGGCATTAGGACTCACATAGACCTCAGGTTGAGCGCCCCCTGCTGGCCACACTAACACCACTTCCAACAGCAACCTGGTGTTCCCTAGTGGTCTCCCATCCAGGTACTAACCAGGCTCAGCCCTGCTTAGCTTTAGTGAGTAACCGGTCTTGGGCTGCAGGGTGATATGGCTGTGGCCTGTGCCTGAATTGATGGATAAAAATATTCATTTTCAAAATGGGGTGTACTCAATGCAAAGCCCTGTATATTGTTCCACTTACATATATATTGCTTATAAATTTGTCTAAATATATGTAGAAATTACTTAAAAGCATCTATATATATATATATATATATATATATATATATATATATATATATATATATATATATATATAAATGCCCCTGACTTCTTGCTGACTAATAGGCAAAACCTAGGGTAGAAGCAAAGTTTAATATTACAATTAATTAGTATCTAGGATGCACTGTAATTGTTCTCCTAAAAATATTCAAAATGATTTTTTGATGCATAAACTGTAATTGCAATGAATTACATAAGAGTGGGTGTCTTCTGTAAATCCTGATAAAATACATTATGGATGTTTTTACTTGAAAACTAACAATTTTCCAAAACTCCAAATCATATCTAATATATTTTTAATATAATGCTACAATAACAATCTCCATATATTTATAAAAACAAAAATAAAATACTGTAATGTTCTGAATTGTCTTGTTGCTAATAATCACAGTGATGATATTTCACTCGTCCTTCCATGTTATTGTTCACTCATAAGAAACAGAATATAATTTCCCAGATTTTTAAACAATTTTGAGTAGTCTTCATATATGAACTGAACTACTCATCTGTTTGTCATGTAACAGCGTTATACAGCATCTAATAGCAATAATACAGGTCAAGTGTTGTGTTTGCATCTCATTCAGTATGTGTGTAGTGGTTCACAGGCACCTTTGGTCTCTTGGCTGCGGCCGCCCGTGTGAGCTCCATGCCAGGGCAAACGCATGGAGGAGCGCTGCGGAGCGTTCCTCTGCTCGTCCAGATAGCGCAGCTCCTCCAGCTTTGTGCTGCTGGTGGCTGCAGAGAGAAAGAGACTCGTTTAGGGCTGTGTTTGGCTCATTTGCGGTGGAGAGATTACAAGCCACCCCTGTGATCTCTGTGAGGAACAAACACAATCTGCTGCTGCTGTAAGTGGATGAACATGTGTATCTAACACCCCCGCCCACCCCCTAACATACACACACAGATTTAAACACAGACACAGACAGACAGACAGGCAGACAGACACACAGACACACAGACACACACAGACACACACACACAGACACACAGACACACAGACACACACACACACACACACACACACACACACACACACACACACACACACACACACACACACACACACACACACACACACACACACACACACACACACACACACACACACACACACACACACACACACACACAGAGTTTAGAGAAAAACTCACACAAATTAGGAACATTAAACAGGGAGGGAGAAGGATATATCAGTATAATTGGCATTTCATTAAAGTTTTTAAATAATTTAATTGGTTTATTGTTTTTATTGTATTAAATAATTTGTTTTAATTGCAGTATGCAATTAAAACTTTAAGCAATTTTTTTTAATAGTCTACATAACAAACCATTGTTATACAATAACTTGACTAATTACCCTAACCTGCCTAGTTAACCTAACTAATCTAGTTAAGCCTTTAAATGTCTCTTTAAGCTGTATAGAAGTGTCTTGAAAAATATCTGGTCAAATATTATTTACAGTCATCATGGTAAAGATAAAATAAATCAGTTATTAGAAATGAGTTATTAAAACTATTATGATTAGAAATGTGTTGAAAAAAATCTTCTCTCCATTAAACAGAAATTGGGGAAAAAATAAACAGGGCTAATAATTATGACTTCAACTGTATATTCAGATTATAAGCAAGTGTAAGTAATATGAAATGTTCACATATCTTTTATGACTTTGTAATGTAGAAAGGCACGCTAAGTGACCGCATAGAGAGACACTGCAGCACTGCTGAAGACTGTGAATGTTTACAGCCGTTTGATGGATAAATATGAATTTTTATCTAAATTGTTAGCAATGCCAAACAGCATTTACCATTGTTTACATCCTTGTTTAAGTGCTCGCTACAACATACTGTTAAGGCTAGAAACTTTGCATGTAGTTGATAAATTTTAACAAACAAAAATACTTTCAGGTTGTGGCTCCCAATCCACAGCTTCATCAGTTGGACGAGTTTTTTAGCCAAATCCAGCACTGAACAAGAAAAGATTTTGGAAGCTGTTCTGTCAAATGCAAGCTATACCTTTTTTATGATTCTCTGAAACATAATCGAAATTAACCTGTAAGAACATCTCTCTTTGTGTCGTGTCCTTTGAAAGCCCAAACACAGAAACAGAAGACGCTATGTGGAAATAGCAGCGTTTGGAACACATTTTAACTTTCTCTGCTATAACATTACAGCGCCTCTGGCCACGCCCCTTCGCTAAGCAGGGTGTATGTGCGCAGTGAATGCATGTAACCAGAGGCCTTTGTGATCTCATTAAACTGGATGTATTTATTAGTAGTCCCCAAACCTCATTCAATGTAGGCTTAGCCAAGCTCACTCTGTAAAAGCCAATGTCTCCCTTTGCATTGAACTTTGAGCGTCTTACATTCAGAGATGTTGTTTATGTTCACACAGCTACATTACATATCAACTAAAGTTTGGTTATAAATATGATATCGTAGTGCACCATATCTTAAATGATTTTGCAAAAAAATTAAGGACAAAATATGTTTTGTGCAGTGGCGCAGTAGGGAGTGCTGTTGCCTCACAGCAAGAAGGTCGCTGGTTGGAGCCTCGGCTAGGTCAGTTGCCGTTTCTGTGTGTAGTTTGCATGTTCTCCCCACGTTCGCGTGGGTTTCCTCCGGGTGCTCCGGTACAGGTGAACTGGGTAGGCTAAATTGTCCGCAGTGAATGAGTGTGTGTGGATGTTTCCCAGAGATGGGTTGCGGCTGGAATGGCATCTGCTGCGTAAAAATGTTCTGGATAAGTTGGGGATTCATTCCGCTGTGGTGACCCCGGATTAATAAAGGGACTAAGCCCAAAAAGAAAATGAATGAATGAATAAATATATTTGCAGTTAACATGAACAAGGTCATAGTCAGATATATTTATGAACAAGATTAAACCAGTAAATCTAGCAAATAATGTTGCGTTACTTTTGACCCTACTGACGGGGTCAAAAAGTATGTGCAATTTATGTTTATAGTGAAATTATTTGGATGTTGTTCTACATTTTATTACACTACCACCTGATATTGTAGTGGTTTTGGTTTTTCTCTTAATGAATCAAACTCAGTCTGGAGGTTATGAATATCAGAAGAATATACTTTATTGGAATATCTTCCAAAAAAGCAGAGACGTCCGTAAGCAGACCCATCCCTAGTCTCACTCCAAGACAATCTAATGTCCCTCACATTTGCTATCCCCTTTATCCTGGCTTCCTCCCACCTTTGTGTTTTCACAGCTGTTTACTGGTTCAACAGGCCTCTTCCAGCTCCTACTTCTTTACGACCCCTATTTAAAGCCTCTTCTTCTTGGTGGCCCTCATAATGTAAAGATCTAATGTATTCATAACTGTTTTTACACAAACAGTTCACATTTGATAATCATGACTAGTATCTATGTTTCAAACATCTAAACTGGACTCTTCTCTCCCATACAGTATGGGTCTTTTCAAACATACATGACAGTTTCAACCTATGTTGTATACATTTCATGCTTTTCTGACACAGATGGCTCTCATTGTATCCCCAAATCCTCTCTCGTGATCTTTTATGACCCCTTTGCCTTAACCTGTCACCTGTTTTCAATGACATATAGTGGCAAATTCATAGGGCTTTCCACTCACCCAATTAAATGCGTCTTCATATAGGTTTATTAAATAAAAATCTTCGATAGACCACACTTATAAGTTAGTAACCAAACTAAACATTATCTTATAAAAATAGGTTTATATAAAAATTGGTACTTTCGTCCCTGCTCCCCTCTATATTGGGGAGCAGGGACAAGAAGAAAGAAACTTGCATAGACTTGGAACATGCAAGTAAATGAAAACAGAATTTTCATTTTGGGGTGAACTATCCCTTTAATTAAAGCCACAGAGATCGAGATAGCTGGCTTAGTTTACCCACTCACAAGCCATCCACTCATTCACTCAATCATTCATTTCATTCATCTTTCTTCACTCACCACACCCCTCCCTCTCCACTCATCCCTGTTCAATCTCCAATCCGCTCCCATAATCTAATCTGCCTGCAACCCATAATCTGTGCAGTCGGGCATAAACACAGGGATGATGATTGTCATTCGTCACGTTGCGTTCGCTTGTGAAGAGACTCAAATGTGAAACCATGATCCAGCCCTTTGAAGTGCTCAGATATAAATACGTTAACGTCTCTCTTCGCCCGCTCTGCAGGACAAAGATCACCGCAGACAGGCACTTGGAGAGACATTTTGCTTTGTTGGAGTCATTCTGTATATCCGACAGCAATTTCCCCATTTAGCTTTACAGCAAGAGAAAATCAAAGCCACCCGTTTGTAAAGCTTTCTGGAAGCCGCTGGAGGAAAGGCAGCCAGACGCGGATTTTCTCATCCAGGACATACAACTGTGTTCAAGACAAACAGATTTGTTCAAACACAAGCTGCTGAATGCAGACGACTTGATCTTTGCTGGAGTTCATACTGGGTGCTTGTTTACACCCGATATTATGATACGTTCTAGACAACCTCTATTGGAAAATGTTAAATACAGGTCTGAAGAGAATCTAAATGGTTTTGAGGTTGTCCACTTTCAACAACTTTCTCATTGTGTAAACGCTCAAGCATTTAAACACCCATAAAAGACCACAGACTCTCTGTCTACTGACCTAAAGTAATGCATTATCAGTTTGATACAATCGCAACAAAAACAGGCAGCACATGACGCGAATCTCCCGTTCCACCACATCCTAAAGGTGCTCTATTGGATTGAGCTCTAGTGACTGTGGAGGCCCGTGTACAATGAACTTTTTTCCATGGTCAAGAAACCAGTCTGAGATAATTTGCGCTTTATGACATGGCGAATTATCCTGCTGGAAGTAACCATCAGAAGATGGGTAAACTGTGGTCAGGGATGGACATGGTCAGCAACAACACTTAGGTAGGCTTTGGAACAAATGGGCCCAAAGTGTGCCAAGACAATATTCCTTACACCATTTCACCAGCCTTACTAGCCTGAATAGTTGATAAAAGGCAGTATGGATCCATGCTTTGATGTTGTCTACGCCAAATTCTAACCCTACCATCCGAATGTCGCAGCAGAAATCAAGACTCATCAGACAAGGCAACGTTTTTCCAATCTTATATTGTCAGACTTTGGTGAGCCTGTGAGAATTGTAGCCTATGTTTCCTGTTCTTAGCTGACAGGAGTGGCACCCAAAGTGGTTTTCTTCTGCTGTACCCCATCTGCCTCGAGGTTCGATGTGTTGTGCGTTCAGATATCCTCTTCTGCATACCACGGTTGTAACGAGTGGTTATTTAAGTTATTGTTGCTTTTCTATCAGCTGGAACCAGTCTAGCCATTCACCTCTGACCTCAGTCATCAACAAGACATTTGCTCTCAAAGAACTACAGCTCACTGGATATTTTCTCTTTTTCAGACCCTTCTCGGTAAACTCTAGAGATGGTTGTGCGTGAAAATCCCAGTAGATCAGCAGTTTCTGAATTACCAGCCCATTTGGCATAAAAGCTCACCAAAGTGAACTTTTGAGGGAGTTCGTTTTGATTCCTAAACACCTTTGAGCTATCATTGGTTCATGATGATGAAGGAATTGTTCTGTAACTCTGCCTTTTTGATGTGCTAATGATTTGTATCTCATATCCACAAAGGTCAGACTGGATTAATAATATTAATAATAATAATAATAATTTCTTACATTTATATAGCTCTTTTCTGAACTTTACACATTGGGGAGAGTCTTCTCATCCACTACCAGTGTGCAACATCCACTTGGATGACATGACCGCAGCCATATTATAAGTTGACTGGTGGAGAGGGGACAGAGGCTGTTTCGTAATATGCGTTATGCGTCTTGCGTCCTCGTGTTCTCGTGTAACGTCATCATCAACTGCCAAAGTTTAGTTCCAATATTCAAGACCAAAACTTCCCGGATGTGTTCTTGATATCAAGGACACATTGATGCAGACTTGAGCACCGATCTTGCTCTAGAAGTCCCAGAAGTCATTGCGACTGGAGGTGGGAAGCACAGCATTTTGTTTAGATTTATTATTAAAGTTCAGATATCACTTATTTATCTCTGGAGTTTTCCTAAATGAAAAGGTGAATATAAACATTACCATAAACATCTTAATAAAGTAATAAACACATTAAGGGTGTTTTTTTGCTGAATTAAAACAAAATCTGTTTAATTTGATTTGTACAGCGTATATTTATAATGTTTTTAAGCATATTATATATTTTGAAAAGGGGAAAAACAATAAATCGCTGTATGAATGCTGCAATGTTTAAATAATTTTCCATTTAAAACCTGTGGTCACGTTACCATAAGGAAGAACGCAACATCTCATTCCTCAGAGGATGCGTTCTCTGTTCTCACGGTCTTTCGAATTCGTTCTTCCGTGGACACCTGGCAAAACTGTTCTCCATCAGAATGCAAGTTTGTTCTCTGCGTTCTTGGAATTGAGAAACAGCCAGAGTGATTAAGCCAATTATGATATGGGGATGGTTACCAGGCGGGCAAATTTGGCCAGGATGCCAGGGTTAAACCCACTACTCTTTTTTTGAAGGACATCTAGGTATTATTTTAATGACCACAGAAAGTCAGGACTTTTAACATCTCATCTGAAAAACTACGCTCAGTGAGCAGTATAGAGTCCCCATCGATTTACTGGGGCGTTAGGACCCACACAGACCGAAGGTTGAGTGCCCCCTGCTGGCCTCATTAACACCACTTCAGGTAGCAACCTAGCTTCCCCATGTGGTCTCCCAGGTACTAACCAGGCACAGCCCTGCTTAGCTTCAGTGGGCGACCATGTGAGAGTGGCAGAGAGTTAGCTGCCGGCTACAGTACAACCTCAAGTCAGCAATATGAACACACTGGAGGGACGCTATCTACACCCCAAATTTGATTGAGAAGAAATTGTGAAATCTTGGGGGGTGGGGGGGGGGGGTCACACACCAGATGTGAAGAGCTACCATGTTATACCAGTTTTATACAAGTGTGCGCACACTGGCAGTGATATTCTGTGTTTTTCCACAACAAATAGAAGTTTGCCAGATGTTAACAAAACATTTCTTCTACCTCACCCCCATTGTTGTGTTTAGAGGGTACACTCGAGTAGTGGACACATTCATAATCAGAGTATATTGTCAGTCAGCCTTTTCGAAATCATCATGCCCTCAAATATTGAATGAAAACGAACCTCGTTTTGAGTATATGAGTATATGCCTTGAGTTCAAATACGAAATGAACAATATTTTGATGATGTATGTTAAAATATATAAATAGTTTATCGTGGTAAAGTTTTAGCAGCATGTGCTTGATTTATTTAGTAAAACTTCAAACTTATTTATAAAAAAACTTTGAGTTTTGAGACTTTGAGCAATTGGCTTAAAAAAAGTTTTAAATCATCATTCTAAAGGAGTTGCACTGCACATTTGTTTAAAGAAAAAGCAACAGAAAGACATATCATCTCTTTATATCATCTTGCTGTACACAGATTTTTTTTAAATCTCATCACGTTGGACAAAACACAACTACTTTCAGCATTGTGCTACAAAATCAGCAGAGGTGGAATGATGAATAGGGCTGCAAGAAACCCTGAAGAACAAAACACCTTGTAAAAAAATAAATAATAGAGCATGATGCTACCAATAATAACTCACCTGCCACAGAATTTGGGCGTGGCATAACCAAAGAGGCACTGTGATACGTGATTGGTCCATCCAGTGGTGATGTCACAACAGGTGCCGCCCCGCCTGTGCTGCTTGTCCTCGGTTGAACTTCACTAGAGACCGTGGGCTCCTCTGGAGTGATGGGAATACAGCTACGCCCGCTCTCGCCTCTTACACCCGCACCTCCATCTTTCGCCCACTCCAGACTAGATCCACAGCGCTCTTCATTCTCACTAGAACTGGTGACTGTTGCTGCAGGACGGAGAAACAGACAGAGAGATGAAGGTGAACGAGGCGTAGAGGGAGGAGTCAGACATTAACAGGAAGGACACAGGAGGAGAGAACAACACAGAAGGACAAAATGAAACATCACGGAAAAGAAAACAGGTATTAAGCATCAAAGTCAGGTTTGAAGAGTCAACAAACAATCTTGAGACATGAAGAGATCAAATAGGACTCGTTCAAGTAATTGGTGTCAGACATTTCGCTTTAGTGCTGCTATCTGTGACCTTTCTTTACCACAACCACGCTAAAAACACTATTTTGGGGCTTTTAAAAAGCTACTGATGTCCTACTTCAAGAAACCGGCAGGCAGACCTGAAATAAAGACACAACGCTGTCCCAGTTTTGATAGAGCATATCTCTGGCTCTTGTGTGTTATCAGAACAGACCAAAAAAATAAAACACACTTCTATAAAGTCTTCAAACAATAAACAGCTTTGATAAGTCAAGCTTTGTGATGTCTAATGCAGTGGTCCCCAACCACCGGGCTGCTGGCTGGTACTGGTCTGTGGATCAATTGGTACCAAGCCGCACAAGACATCATCAATTATTTCCATTTTATTTATTATCAGTCTAAACAATCTTTTATTTTGAAAAATCTTTATTTTGAAAAATGACTATATTCTCTTGGTTACATCTCGATCATTTGAGCACCAACATTTAACCCACAAGTAAACAAAATGAGTTAGAAATCGACATCTTTGGAAAATTTCTAGGCGAAAGGGAATGGCCCAGTGAAGAACTGCCCAGGAATGGATCCGCAACCCATTTGTTAACAAATCAGGTGAAACCAGCATGTCTGTGCAAGATCAACTGCTAGAGATTGCAAATGATGGCAACCATAGGGGTCGTTCATAAATTCCGTCTTTACTGCAGGCAAGTTCGTTATTTCCAATGAAGGCGTGTGGCTTACAGCAGCACCTTGTTGAAAACATCTCAACTTTCAAATTGATGCGAGCGCACAGTGAGTCACGTGACAAGAACGGACCGATCAGCTTTGTACTTTGTATGTATTTTTATGAAAAATACACATTGCTCAGACAAACACAAAACTCCCAAACACTGCAGTGGTTTTTAATTTTCTCCTCAAATAAAACTTGTGTCAGGGCTAGAGCAATGTTTTGTTTGTCAGCTTGTCATCCTCTGAGAAAACTAGCAATCTACATACATTCTCCTCACCCACCCCCTAAGCCGCAGTAAAATTGTCAAGCGTTAACCGGTCTGCGGTGATAAAAAGGTTAGGGACCACTGGTCTAGTGCTCTCTTGATTAGCATCTCTCAATGTAAATCTTAACACAATAGAGATGCTGCAAATTCAGACAGCTTTGTGAAACAGAAAAGAGTATGGGCAAAAGAAATTGGTGACGTCTAACTGATGAAGTCTGACATGTTTAACAATGTTCTCCTCAAAGTTCACAAAAAAAAAAAAAAAAAAAATTGTACAGCATTTCCTGAAAGAACAAACAGTGCTTACCACTTTCCATTGATAAACTATGCCCACTAATCAGAATTCAGTATGGAGGAATTACTGTACAGTCATTGATGTCTTCGCCCCAAAATTGGCCTTAATATTACTCTTAACGTTATTAACTTGCACTATTTGAAATAGTCATAAGGCATAATTATTGAGATGTCTGCATGAAATATTACACAAAGTAGTACAATTTAGCATCAAGTTAATTTTATTAAAAACTAGGGCTGTCAAATGAAAAAAGAAATAACAATAGTTTATGGACTTACTTTCAGTGCTAGCATTTTTGCTGCTCAACTTCATTAATCTAATGATTAAATTCAACCAAACCATTCATTTATTCATTTTATTTTCGCCTTAGTCATTTTATTAATCTGGGGTCGCCACAGTGGAATCAACCGGTAACTTATCCAGCATATGTTTTATGCAGCGGATGCCCTACTAGCTGCAACCTATCACTGTGAAACACTCATACCCTCTCATTCACACTCATAAACTACGAACAATTTAGTTACCTAATTCACCTACAGCGCATGTCTTCGGACTTGTGGGGAAAACCGGAGCTTCAACCAATCCAAAAAATGCAAATCACTTCAAAAGGAAAACTGCGACAAAGTACTGAAGATTTCTTTCTTGTGCTTTTGACAGCTGGATTTCAGACCAGCATTTAATTCAGCCTGACAGATACTGTATGTGTTCACTCATGGCATGAATAGATCATTCATCAGTGGGTTCGTTTGAGTTCAGTCTAAAAGAGCTTCATCACTGAAATGCAAACTTTGAAAGGAGTCTACAGTATATGTTAACAGACTGGATTTTTTAAAATTATCATTATTTCAATATGTGCCTTGTGGTTGAATGACTGAATAATGTTAAAAAACTAAATTATACAATAGTAAAAACAAAAATAATAAACAATAACATTAACCCATTTCCCAGTTATGGGATGTGGCTGGAAGGGCATCCGCTGCTAAAAAAACATGAGCTAGATAAGTTGGCGGCTCTTTCTGCTGTGACGACCCCAGATTAATATAAAAAAATGAATCAATGAATGAACATTAACCCACTTATTCTGTAGTTGTTTGACAAGGTAAAACTAGTTTTGCACTTTGAGCTGCAATATTTGATCACATTTTGATTCTGAATTGTTAGATCTCCTAGTCCGCTCTTCAAATCAGTCACCAACTGAGACTGAGGGCTCAATATTAACGATCTAGACGCAAAGTCTAAATCACATGCCACAAAAGCATTACAGGCATGTCCGAATCAACTTTTACTACTTTAGGAAGGGATAAATATGCATTCTCTTATTAAGTTTTAAGTGCGTTTTGAGCATAACGTGCAATAAACCAATCAGAGTCTCATCTCCCATTCCCTTTAATAGTCAGTTGCATTGTGCAATGGGGCATTTGCTATTTACATGGTGGACTTTGTAAGTGAAAAAACTGAACGCTTTACTAGTGAATAAAGAAAGTGATAAAGAATAAGCCTTCTCCATTCAGCGTCTTTACTTTCTCTTTACTTTTACTCTTTACTTTACTTCTTAACTCTCATGGATAAGGAAACAGTGTAGTACGCACTCCACTGAAGACATTCATAATTCTACATATTTAATTTAGCTTATAAGCGCAAAGATTTGTTTCAAAACTATTTCTAAATTCAGTTCTAATTTCCAGCCATTATTCTATTCTTATGCCCAATATAGTGACGCATACATCGCCAAAACCCGACAGATGGACAAATCTAACCATGTTTTTATTCAAACAAATATAAATATGCGTTTAATAAATAATACTACTAATATTAACATTATACAAATGCAAATTGTCATAAATAAATTGAAAAAGCCTCCCGGACATGAAGAAGGCATGGAGGCAGTATATAAAAAATAATAACTTTTGTAACATTTTAATCCTTTTTTTACGTGTAAGGATATTTGTGTATTGCTGTACATCCTGTGTTTATTAAGCAATGTCTAAGCGTTTTGGACCTGCATAAGTGCATAACTAACGTGCTCTGCCCTGAACTTTAGAGCAGCTTTCAGTTGGTCACTGGCGCAGTTTATTTCAGTTATTCAAAATAGCAACCCGCCAACAATGCGCGTTAACACAAGTCCTTTTTAGACCAGCACACCCATGAGTCCACAAAGTGGTGCAAACGCATTTGCTATTTAAGCAATGTGGTGAAAAACATGAAAATTAGGGTTGCATTGGTCTGAAAATAGCAACAAATTGCGCCAAACACATCTTGCACCTTATTGCGCTACGTGTATAATAGGGCTCTTAATGTTTAAGATAAAATGTCCTGTTTAGCTCTTAATTTAATTCTATTGTCTATGCGACATTGAGATTCATAATACAAGTAGTGCATTTATACATTGAAATTTTAGTGTTTATTCAAATAAATAAATACGATAATGTTTAAAAAGTTATTTTTCAAACATTGAAATTTTAATGATGAAATTAGTAGATTTTATAGTTTCTTCCCCAATGTAAATATATTAATTATTCAACTGGGATAAATGTGTTACCTATGATTCCACTGTCTTTGCTCTCCAGGGTTGAGCTGGGTGTGGTGATGACGGTGGAGGTGGCAGTGGAGCAGGCGCTGGAGCAGATGACCGGAGCTCTGCTGTTGGAGGAGCTCTCAGGTAAGGTGGAGCAGGGGCTCTCGGCGCTGGGAGACGCCGTACTGCTGGTCAGAGTGGAGCAGGGACTCACGCCCTGACTGGACACTATACACTACATTGAAAAAAGAAAAACAGAGATGAGTGAGAAACAAAAAGCAAAGAGCAAAAAAATAATAAATAAACATTGCATAAAGGAAAAATAGAGAGACGGGAGGAAATGTAACAAAAAGGGGGAGCAAGGAGATAAAGTGATAGATGGAAACTGTTAAACTCAGCTCTTATGTCCATACAAGGGCAAGGCCAAAAATACTCCAAGCCCTCCAGTCTGCTTTTGTTCCAATATAAGCAACCAATATGATGCTTTTAGAAGCAGAATCAGGCTGCAGTGGCGACAGTAACCAACACACAGACAAACGCACATTCACATTTCAGCACTGAATCCACTGGAAATATATTATTCAGGAACAAAGAAAGAACCTTAAATCTAGTTAATATTAAATCAAAATTCAAACAGCTGAAGTTTGAGAGACATATGATTCTTCATTTTTGCATTAAAGCTGGTTCACACTGGGAAGATATCAGGAGCTATAATAATAAAGATACGGTTTTTAAAGGTGCTGTAAGTTTTTGACTCTGGTAAAGCATAAAAATACCATAATATGTTTGCAGATATTTAACCCTCTACTGCACGCATTATAACAAATCTATTAAAATATACAAATTTGACTGTTTTTCTTTTCTTAGAATGGCTTAACTTCAAGTGCTGTACAAAAATTTGGATTTTTTAAGGTACTTTATGATATGTTGCCATATGGCAACAATATCCAATAGTGGATCTAACTTAGAAATTAAAAAATTTAGATTTTTTATTTTTTATTTTTAAACATTTTGTTGTTTGTAATGATTTAATTGGGGTTGCAATGTTAAAAGCTTTAACACAGAACTTATAAACGACACCTTACATACTTTGCAACAACTTATATTCCAACAGCTTTCATTTATTCCATTCTTTTTTTGCTGAATAATATTAAAAACAAACATAATATTGTATAATCATGCATACAACATACAGTAGGTATAAATATTTCCTCCAGTAAATATTACAACAAATAAATAAACAAATATTAAGTCTAATATATCCAGATGCATCCTAATAATGTAGCTCCTAGCTAAAAATGTTTATTTATTATACTATATGCGCCTGTTTTATATGCCTCTGGGCTCTGAACTGTCTGCATCACAGTTCTTATCAAGTGTCCAATCTGCATCATTCTCATGGTCACTAAAACCCATCTCATCCTCACTTTCAACTATAGGAAGAGGCAGTTCTGTCCTTTTCATTTTTCACTTACCATAGAACATGGTGGTCCTCACTAATACACTGTTCCCTGTATTTATAACTAATCAAAAGTAATATTGCCATTCAAATTTGATTTTATCCACAATTCAAATGTCATTAACACATGAGTAATCAACATTATATTACTAGCATTCATGCTATTGTTACAATTTAAAGAATCTCAGCTAACCCTGCTAGCTAGCTGAGCCATTGGAATATTGCACATTACACTATTGCAGTGTTGCCATTTGCTTGCATTTGATCGATTTACAAAAAAACAAATTAGCAAAAACTTTTTTGAATTGTGAATATGTCATCATAATATACATCATAACATAACTTGCACAACATTCTTACAACAGTAATTGCAATTCATTATGTATCCTAACCATGTGGTAAGTAAATGTTACTCTGTAGATAAACGAATAGTAGAAAACAAAAAGTGTAATGCTGATCAGGGGTGCCACCAGGGTGGGTAGTTGTGTGGTTGGATGGGTGAAGAGGGAAGGGGAAGAGCAGGGGAAGGGTGTGTGTGTGTGTAATATATATATATATATATAGATATATATATATATATATATATATATATATATATATATAATTCTGTTCAGCAAGACGGCATTCATTAAATGTAAAAAAAAATGTTAAATAAAGTTATTAAAAATTTAAATAACAGCTTTTTTTAGTATATGTATTTTCAAAAAATTATTACTCCAGTCATTATTGCTTTTATACTATTACATTATTAATAACAATAATAATAATAATAATAATAATAATAATAAATATTAGATTGATTTCTGAAGGATCATGCTATTCTGAAGACTGCAGAAATGAAGCTGTAAAATCCTCTTCAAAATCTCTGGAATAAATGATTAAATTAAATGATAAACTACTTTTGAACAGTTATTTTATAGTGCAACAACATTTCACAATTTAACAACTTGTACTTTATTTTCGATTAAATAAATGCAGTCTGGGTGAGCAGAATAAGCTTATCTTAAAACGCAAAAAATTCTTACTGACCCCAAACTTTTATATAGTTTAGATTTTAAATTATTTCCTTATTTAAATTCCCACACAGTGTATATTCAAACTAATTGTGTTATTAAAAAAAAAAAAAAACATTCTGCAACCCCATTGGAAGTTTACTGAGGCCCCCAGGGAGCCCTGGCTGGTAAGCAATGTTTTTAAATAATAAAAAACTTAAATGCAGATTTTTCCATATAGCAGGACTGGAGTGTGAAATATTATGGGTAATCTACATGCTGAAGAGACTGCTTACGTCGCATAAAACTGCAGAATAAAGACTTCTGCAGGACTCTTGTTTTCATAGAGTACATCAAATCCTAGATACTACTCTGTCGTCCCTTCTTACCTCTCTCCGCACTCTATATAGGTCAGGGAGAGTGATGGTGCGTGTGTGTGTGGGGGCGGAATCAGTGTACCGGAGCCCTGGTCCCTAGAGAACTGTTGCATGCCAGCCGCTCGCCAATGAGAGATTCTCATCTCACCACACACACATCCACGCACACACACACACGCACGCACACGCACACGCACAAACACACATCACAGTAAAGCAGAGCTCAAGCTTTCAGGTAGAGCTTGATGCACCTGTTCAATAATTTCCTCAGTGCTGCAGTTGCGTTAGAGAAGTGTGTGTAAGAGGCACACTGTTGCTCCACCCGCATCATTCCTTTTCCCTCGGAGAAACTGCATTACTCACCAGCAGCAACATCTCCAGGGTGCTTCACCACATCAAGACTATTTCAGCCCTTATAAAGCAGCAGCGCACGTACATGCAGCAAACACGCACAAACCAGCATTCATACTTAATGCACTGCGTTCGAAAAGCCTGAAGAGAAGATCAGAAACCGGCCAATCAGAAAGCACCTTTTTATTTGCCATAATACGTGACTGATGAAGCATGTTTTGTGGATCAATTCCGCAACTACTGGCTTTGTGTGCAGCAATCCATAAACGCTACGTAAGCCTCTTAAAAGCGATTCAGATCCTAGACAAACGTCTGGAAAAGTCTGTGTGATGAATACCAGTGGTTTGATGATGTGGACTCAAACACAAAGAAGTTTAATTAGTAGAAACAAATTGAAAAAGATATTGAACAAGTATCAAAGATTTTAGAAATCAGATTTAATAAAGCTGAACTGTAAAAATATTCATTAATTCATTCTCCTTCGGCTTAGTGCCTTTATTCATCAGGGGTCGCCACAGCGGAATGAACCACCGACTTATCCAGCATATGTTTTACACAGCGGATGTCAGCTGCAACGTAGTACTGGGAAACATCCATACACACACATACATTGCAGCCTATTTGGTTTATTCAATTCACCTATAGCGCATTTGTTTAGACTGTGGGGGAAACCAGAGCTCTGAAAAAATATAAAGCTCTAAAATGCCACCAGGGACACTACAGTTGATGTGGTTTTATTTTTAATACCCAATTCATTCATTAATTGTCCTTCGGCTTAGTCCCTTTATTCATAAGGGGTCACCACAGCGGAATGAACCGCCAACTTATCCACCATGTTTTACACAGCGGATGCCCTTCCAGCTGCAACCCAGTACTGGGAAACGAATACCCAATTAATAACTAATTATTTTACCAATATTCAAGGAATTGTTTACTCAAAAATTAAAACTGTCATCATTTACACACCCTGTACTGGTTCCAAAACTATTTGACTTTCTACTGTCAAACATCATACAATGGAAGTCAATGGTATTTACTTTCGTGTTCAAGAGAAGAAATAAACACTAAACAGTAAGTGAATATTCATTTTGGGTGAACTATCCACTATCCACAATTTTCCATTATTAAAGCTACTTGCTTAGGAGATATTTTAAATTTTTATTTACCCCAACTTAATCACCCTTACAGATGAAAAAACATGAACTTTAAAAACATGTTAAAATTCACATCAAACCAACAGGACACACATGAAACATGGTTTTGGATTTTCTGTAAAACCCAGGTCATCACGCTTCATCACATTTCTTCATATTTGATGTAATCCAAAAATGTTCTATTGACCATTTTGAGGGATGTAAACAAAAACAATTGTCCCAAAGTATTTCCTGTTTTACATTTTAAATTTCTATAGCATTCGAGATTTCAAAAAGGTCCACATATTGATAAATAATGTTATGATAGCTGTTTTAACATTAAGTTGTGATTGAATAGCCTCTTGTTACAGTTATAAAATAGTTTGACAACAAGCAGAAAATGTTCATGGGCCAATGATACCACCCTATTGAATGGTCTATAGTCACATTTCACATGCGTTTCACATGTTTGCACATATTCAACATGTGACTCCATATGTACAGGCAAATGAAACAAACCTGAAATTAAAATGATAAAAAAACAAAATAAAACTGTCCATCACGGTTAAATGAAAAACAAAACTGCCAAAACATTTAACGTTCAAGTAGAAGCAGCAAATAAAAAATAAGAAGCAATGCAACATATTATTAAAACTATACTCATTTAATCATTTTCCTTCAGCTTAGTCCCTTTACTCCTCAGGGGTCGCCACAGTGGAATGAACCACCAACTTATCCAGCATATGTTTTACACAGCGGATGCCCTTCCAGCTGCGACCCAGTATTTGGGAAACATCCATACACACTCATTCACACTACGGCCAATTTAATTCACCTGTACTGCATGACTTTGGACTGTGGGGGAAACAGGAGCACCTGGAGGAAACCCATTCCAACATGGAAAGAACATGCAAACTCCACACAGAAATGACAACTGACCCAGCCGAGATTCGAATCAGCAACCTTCTTGCTGTGAGGTGATAGTGCTAATCACTGCACCACCATGTCACCTATTAAAAACTATACTATCTGATGCATTTGTTTATTACTCATTTATTCAATAACCAATAATCAATTCAAGCAACCCAGCTTAAGGTTCTTCATGAAAAAATACAACTTGCCTTTCCGTATTTTGGTATCCCCATTCAAAGATGACCAGTCAAATCAAGCTGCATTATGTGTGGTCAAGTTTTCCCACCTCTACCATTATGCAAAAGAAAACACCACTGAGTGATTTCTCTAGTAATATGGCTCTGATATCACACACAAAAAGTTCCCATTTCAAGTTTGAGTCCACCTTGCCAGCAATGAATCACGCTATTAAAGGTACCAACCACCATTTTATTTTTTAAATCACAAATCTAAAACCAAGCTCCTCCAATATTGTCCGCAGTGAACCTGAAAGCAGCAATCGATCTCTCTGATAAACGACCTCCGGTAAATAAGGTAGATTTAGTGTAACCTTCCTGAAAAGAATGTTCAGAGGCCAATTCCACTTTCTGAGGACCTTATCGTCCCAATCTCCCAATCTTCATTGACGTGATGGAGCAAGCAGACTGTTTTGTGTATCAGATTGCACGGCTGTCAGAGTTTGGCTGTTTAGACCTGTAGGCTTCCTATTTACCTGTTTGTCCTCCATGTTTGTTTGTGATGAGGTGGGGATGGCGTCTCCCAGCAGGAAGCCCAATCGTGTCATGAGCTCCTGGACGGCCGGAGAAGAGCCAGACTCGGCCGGCGAGAGCAGCTCTGCACACACACACACACACACACACACACACACACACACACACACACACACATACACAAACACACACAGATTTAAAGGTTAGCATTAGGATGCACAATAAAAGCCCACACCCAAAAGCAACATGTCTACAGGTACCCACACAGCATGCATTTACAGCAACAACATCAATCTGACCACATTTACATTCAAACACAGCGTCCAGCCTGATTAAATAATCAATGCTATTCCTTTAGGACGTACGGGGGTTTTGTCCCAACTCACCAAGATCCAAAAGGACCGGTGTGCCACTTCCTGTGCTCTCGTTTCCTCTCCTCTCACTGCCTTTCACAGTCTCCTCTGCTTTCTGGCAATCTCCGTCCGTCCCTCCCTTTCTCTCTCTCTATCTCTCTCTTTCTGTCTCCATCCCTCCCTCTCTTCCCCCTCCTCTATGTTGCCCTGTATCTCTCACTCCCTCTCTCACTCTCTCTGTAGTACAACACACGGTCTTTACAGTGCTCCGCGCAGCTTCAGAAAGCCTAGGTTTGAGATGCGGTTATTATGACAACCAAGTTTCCATCCATTCAGAAGCTATGTGTGTGTGTGTGTGTGAGAGAGAGAGAGAGAGAGAGAGAGGGAGGACAGGGTGTGAATGTGAATGAGCAGAGATCGTGCTCGCTGCAATCACTAGGCTCTCATTCTCGGAGAACGATTGACTAGTCACACACACAATTCATTCTCTTTCTTTCTCCAAACACCATCATACAATTCTGCATTAATTTAGTTTTGATTTAACGTTACATAATGACATTTTAGGAAATGAGGTATTCATTTACAAACAACAGTTGGCTATGGATTAGAGGACATGAAATCAATTTACTTCATATACTCTACGTCTCTGGTTTTGCACATTATTACAATAAAAAGGTTTAGTCTTTGTTGGTTTAATGTTAGGTTCTGACATTTAAGTAAATGAATTCAGTGATTAAAATTAGATTTGGAAAAACAGAGCATTTAATTACAGATTGAAGACAACAAAAAAAATACATGAAATTAAATAAATACAGAGGGGGAAATTAGTATTGAACACGTCACCACTTTTCTCAGAAAACATATTTCTAAAGGTGCTGTTTACTTAATATGTTTACCACATGTTGGTAACAACCAAAGAAATACATTTATGCAAAGAAAACAAATCTAATTAGTTTACAAATTAAGTTATGTTAGGGCCAAGTGATTAATCGAAAAATAATCGAAATTTACATTGAGAACCTATAATCAATCAAATTTTTCCAGGTAAATCATTTCGACTACTTTACTGGAGTCACGTGACCCCGCTCTGTAAAGGCTAATTTATACTTATTATATTATGGTTTATACTTACATTATTCTGATATTATACCTCTGCCAAATGCATGCATACGGTCCGGTGGAGCCTTCGCATACGCGTGCACCTCTCAAAAAAATGTAACTACACGTCACAACAACACGTAGCACAAGCTTTGAGACTGGTCAGTTTAGTATCGGTGATGAAGATGGGTGGTGCGGAGAGCCACGTTCTAGGCAATGAGTGTTTTAATTTTAGTTGTTCAGTGTTGATGTTCAATAAATAATCAAAGATGGCAGTGTGTTTGTTCACTTCAATAATTTTTTGAAGTCAACCTATGCCCCCTTCATTTAGAAACCTCTCACTTGTAATATGCAAGCATATTTACTGTACAAAACTTGTCAGTGAATTATGAGGACAAAAACATCAAATAAATAAATAAAATATTCGTTTACTAATCGTAATCGAGTTATAATGTTTAATAATCAAATTAGTTGATTTTAGGCCAAATCGTTCAGCCTTAAGTTATGTGAAATAAAATGAAATGACGCAGTGAAAAAGAATTGAACACATGAAGAAAGAGAAGACTAGAAAGGCAGTGTAAGCCCAGGCAGCAGCTGAAATCTCTCAGTAGTTAGAAAGCAACCCTCTGCCCTGCATCATTGTAAAACTGTTAAAATGAATGACATTATATTGAAGAGAAAAAATTATCTTCATTTGCTGATGTAACCCTGTACGGATATGAGGAAAATATGAGCTTTTAAAAATAATTTTATAGCTTGACAGGTTTTCATTTTTGATCATCAAATCTAACCACCAAATCAAGTTCTGCACAACACTGCAGCAGGATATTTAATGTCAATTTAAAATATTTCTGATATTATTAAGTAAATTAGTTTTGGAATTTTGTCTATACAACAACCGATCACCAGTAGAAAGTTCAAATTTGATTAAATTTTGATGAACATAAGAAAATTAATTTATTCAGTAATTTTACCTTTGGCTTAGTCTTTTATTTATCAGGGGTCGCCACAGCGGAATAATCGAAATTGACATTAAGAACCTATAATCAATCAAATTTGTCCAGGTAAATCACTTCGATTACTTTACCTACCATATGTGGAGTCACGTGACCCCGCTCTGTAAAGGCTAATTTATACTTATTATATTATGATTTATACTTATTACATTATTCTGATATTATACCTCTGCCAAATGCACGCATACGGGACGGGTGGAGCCTTCGCATACGCGTGCACCTCTCTACATGTCCTCTCATACACATCACTACAACACGTAGCACAAGCTTTGAGACTGGTCACAGCAGAATAAACTGCCAACTATTCCAGTTATGCATACAACTATGCATGTTTTACACAGCAGATGTCCTTCGAGCCGCAACCCAGGACTGGGAAACACTATACACTCTCACATTCACACATGCACATACACTACGGCCAATTTAGTTCATTCAATTCACCCGTACCGCATGTCTTTGGACTCTGGGGGAACCAGAGCACCCGTGAAAAAAAACACAGGGAGAACACAGGGAGAACATGCAAACTCCACACAGAAATGCCAACTGGCCCAGCCGGGACTCGAACCAGCAACATTCTTGCTGTGAGGCGACAGTGCTTACCACTGAGCCACTCCGAATTTAAGAAAATAAATTACAGATACAAATTTTTAAACAATCATTTAGTTAAGGCATATATTTTTTGCTTTCCCTTATTTCGAATGAGATGCAGCAATTTTACATTTTGACTATTTACATATATACTTTATTGTCTACATCTAAACTCATTTGATAAATATTTCAAACCACTGAGAGCGATTATATTGAGAGTCTGTTCAAATAATTAATATTATGCAAAAGGATTAGGCTTTTTCATTACATTAAAAAAAGATCATGTACCATTGCACATGCTCACTGGAAAACACATATAATGCATACAGCACATTTCTTAGCAGTGTACTTGTTCCTTCTGCTGTTTGCAATAGTACTACACCGTCATGGCAATTCTGGTTAAAAAAAGTCTTTCATTCAATATTATTTTACTGGCAATATAAGTAGACTTTTTAATGGCTTGTGTGTTGTTGTTGTTGTTGTTTTTAAATCAGTATAATTTAAAGTATTAAATTAAGTGAGACTCAGTAGGTAGCACTGTTGCCTCAAACCAAGAAGGTCACTGGTTCAAGTCCCAGCTGGACCATGGGGGATTTTTGTGTGGAGTTTGCAAGTTCTCCCCATGCTCACATCGGATTCCTTCAGGTGCTCCAGCTTCCCCCACAGCTCAAAGTCATGCAGTATAGGTAAACTGAAAAAACTAAATTGGCCCTAGTTTATGTGTATAGATGTTTCCCAGTACTGGGTTGCAGCTGGAGTGGCATCTGCTGTGATAAACATATGCTGGATAAGTTGGTGGTTCATTCCACTGTGGCGACCCCTGATTAATAAAGGGACTAAGTTGAAGGAAAATAAATGAATAAATGAAATTGGCTGTCTTGTGTGAATGTGTGTTAGGGTGTATTGGTGTTTCCCAGCACTCGGGATCCACATATTGCAAGGATTGCAGCTGAAAGGGCATCCTTCCAAAATCTTATGCTATATTAATTGGCTACTCGCTCAGCTGTGGTCTTACAAAATAACTCAAAGTCCTAATTAACCAGAAGCTGCACCTTTTTTACGTATATAAAACAATGTGAAGACTTGTGCGACCGCATTTACACTTCTCTACTGACCTTGAAAACATAACTGGAAAATTGTATCGCACAAAAGCTGCATTAGGCTTGTGTGTGGGGTCAAATCAACGTCGCAATCTTTTTTTGATTAATCGTGCAGCCCTATTACAGAATATTCAGAATCACAATGGTGAACATTTATATACAATCAGCAATACACAAAAAAGTATACTTTTTTTGAAGCTTATGCATGTTATGAAACAAAAAAAGCTTCAGCAATTATCACAACAAGAAAATATGACACACCATGCCTAGTTGTCTGCTCAATGTGTTCAAAAAAGCTAAAAAACAAAAGGATTGCTTACAAATTGTAACAATGAGGCTGAAAATCAATTTAGGGTGGCAAATATCACCCATCGCTCAAAATGTTAATTCCAATCGATCACCACATGGAAAACACACACAGAGATATCCTTTTTTTGTCAATACAGCCCAAGATTAGACAAAATGCCACTGATTTCATGGTTTTATAAATACCAAGATATAAATGACCAATTATGTGAAACTAAAATATGCGGCCTGACATATCTGTGCAATTACAATATGCAAATGAGCGGGAAAGTCTTGTGTAGTGTCCTGGAGGGGATGACAGGGCTCTGGGCCACAGTTCATTAGCATGCTGTACTCCGTCAGCAACACTCGCCTCTCCACCTCCATCCCTGCTTAACATCTCCCGCCATCAATCTGGCTTTACACAAATCACTTCAGCATCGATCTCATGCTGCTGGTCAGGTAGTGTTGTTTGCTTGCGACTGACGGCAGGCAAACCTCAGGCAGAATCCATATTTAACACGTCGTCTATAAAACATTTAATAACGCGCAATGAAACGTGGCATATGCACGCTCGTCCTCTGGGTTTACTTTCAAGCAAATATAAAAAGCAGGCTAATCCAAATAAATATTCCCCAATTAAATAGCCTCTAACCTGCGTTTGTTTAGGATTAGGACGGTGAA